TTCATTATTTTCACTTTTTTGTTTGCCGTCTCTCATATCAAAAATTTCGTTGCTTTTTTTACCTTATAAATTTCTTATAAAAAAGCAATTTTATTAATTGCAATGAATTTGCAAAAATCTTTGAATTTAAACGAAATTGCTAAACCAAGATAAAATGATTGCATGAAGTTTGATTCATTTATAAAAGTATTGCAATAAAACAGTGTTTTCTTTGTATTTTAATATTTAATGTAATATTTTTAATAGAATTTTGTACAATTAAAATCAAGAAAATAAAAAATAAAAAAAAAACAATGAAATGAAATTAAATTAAAAATTTTATTGCGAATATTTATTTGAAAAGTAGTCTTTGAAAAAATTTCAGTTTTAAGTGCCTATTACTAAAAGACATTGAATGCATTATTGAATCGTAAGCTTACTGATAAATGATGCCTATATAAGTTTATCAATAAAGGATGCATGCAATTTTTTTCATAATAGAAATAAATATACCATTTTTTTCAAGTAAGAAAAGGAAGAAATTATATAATTTATTCTTTTTTGTCAGATTTAATTTTATTTCTTCAATAATATAATGTTTTTAAACGAACTTTATTGATTTCTTTTGCTTTTTTTTTCACAAAGTGGCAAGCAGATAAAATGAAATATGGAGATTTTGTGGAAGCTATAAGAGCAACATATCCTGATGAAAAAATTGAAATACCAGTTGGCATTGTAGAATGTAATAAAGGTTAGCTATATGAACTTCATAAACTTCATTTAAATTTGAAATTTCAATTTTTAATTTGACTATAACAATGGTTATTTCAACTCTTTGTTTATTTTTACTAATTACTAAAACTTTTCATATTTAAAACGGTAAGAATTTAACAGTGACGCATAAAGTGTTATGCACTGATTTATTCTGTTTAATTTATTCTTTAGTAAGAAATGCTGAAAAGACTTTAGGCTAAGGCTAGATATGAAAAGCAAAGTTAACTTAAGCTAGAAATCAACCAATCAACAGTTAAAGCAATCAATGAGACTCAAAAAGTATCTCATCATTTGAAAAAATTGTATGTTTTCATTTCAGACAAAAAAAAAGTTTAAATTTGGATTAAACCTTGCAAATGTACATAAATTTTAAATTAGTAGCTAGTAGTTCAAAAAATCAAAAAAAAAAAAATAACCTACAATTTTTATAACAATTAATTGTCATTCATTTATTGAAATAACTTTGACTCTCTGAGTTTATTTATTTAGATTAATGTCATTTATATAGTTTGATCACATGATAAGTTTGAACAAAAAACAATTCATCATTTTTTGTTTTGCATTAGTTATTCTTAAGATTGGTTATTTCTATTATTATTTTTCAGTTAAAATGAAATCACAAATAAATTCGAAATGAAAAAATGCGAATAATACAAATCCTACAAAAAAAAAAGTTATTCTGATATCTACTCTGTGATTTTTTTGAGACACTGTAATCTGTAAATTTTATTTTACAAATTAGATTTTAGTTGTTTTTTTAGTGCAAATTAAAAATTTTTTCCAGTACAATTTGAACTTGAGCAAAAATAATAAAAAGATTAGTCATAATCTATTTCTATTATTACATTGTCTTCAATAGATTCTTTACATTGCTACTTTTTTTCAAAAAAAAGGAGTCTAAAAGTAATGCAAAAAAAAAGAACAAGAAATAACATTTATAAACGACGGTTTTCAACAATATTTGTAATTGCTAGATGCAACACAATTTACAAAAACTTAAAAAAATTTGAGTCAATTTGAATTACATAACTCAAACTACTGTCCTTAATTTATTCATTATTAGTCGTATATATAAATGGTTAATCGCATTTGATATATATAAATGATTAACCCTTGTAATTAATCGTATTTGAATTTTTTATAATGAATAAATACTTTGTCGGAATCTTAAGTGTTATCTCAACTCTATGTTTACAATTTCTCTGCATAAAAAGTGAAACAATACAGCCAAATATTGGTGATTTTCATGGATAAAGTTGTAAATTTAAACTTTTAGAGCTGAAAAATATGATCTATTTCGACTGAAAAGGAGAAATTTAATGTAAATTCGAGAAAATTTAGTAGAAATAAACTTTTTATAACAGCAGTTATAATATATTTCTCTTTTAAATAAAAAATTTCTCTCTTAAATTAGTTGAATTTTTCCTTTTTAAAATTGCTAGAATGATAAATATTAAAATTATTCTAACCATTTTGCGATAAATTATCAAGATGATAACAAATACTTGGCAACAATCGAATTCTTGAACGTGCAAGCTTTCATCAGTTTGTGCAGCTAAGAAAGATGCAACAATTTGTTTTGTGTTTCGTAATTGAAAAGAAGAAAATAGGCTGATATGATAAAAATTACATGCTTTCAAAAATTATCCATATTTTAAGTTAGAAATCTTGAAAAAAGGAATTTCTATGAAATTTTAGGGAAAATAAGTTTTTTTTTTTTTGAAACCTTGTTAAAATATTTGCTTTATCATAAAAAATAATTTAAACATCAAATTTTCTTCTTTCAACTTCAGATTTAAGAGGGCTAATTCTATTTTAATAAATAAACGAAAAACAATAAATACAATAACAAGAATTGACTTAACTTAAAATCTTATTGTGGCTTAAATTTTTCTTTCCAAATTTTATAAAATAATCTATATTAGCCTTAATAGATGGCTTATTATAAATTTGATAAAGTGATCCATTGCAAATTTTTTTTTTCCAAGTATTTGTAAAAAATCGAAACTAAAAATCTCAAAGCTGGAAGTGTATCCAAATTTCATTCTATTTGAACTGCATTAAATCAAGCAAATAATGATGAAAAATTAACGGATCATCTTTAATAATTTACCTTCACTTTGCTTCACAGAATTTTTTTTATCATTTTAGTGAACACTGGAAATTCAGTGAATTCTTGAAATTTTTGTATTTTTGCTTTTTGATAAATCTCAAATGTTAGCTCATTTATCATTAAGAATTCTTTACTGCTGTGAGTATTCTTTCATTGTAATTGTTTAATTTATTATCGTTGACCCTTTCATAATTTCAATAAATAATTTTCATTTAAAAATTAAAGACTCTATGACTATATAATAACTTATGCACTGGGTACCAATTATTGTATTAAAATTCTTATTATTCTACTAATTTTTATAATAAAATACTTACTTATGCACTAATGTACACGCTGAATTCTAGTTATCGCACCAGAATAACTATGCACTAATTGTATACCGAATTCTAATTATGTACTAAAATACTCATTTACCGATTTATAAACTAATTCATAGTTAAACAGTATATAAGCTGTAATAACTTATGCACTGAGTTCTAATTATTGCATTTCTTTTTTTTTTTTTTATTATTAAACAAATTATTAAACGGGCTTAAGTGCATATTGCTATTATGATTAAATCAAACTTTGAAATTATAAACTATATCTAGCTATCTTTTTTTGTCTGTAACATGTTATTGCCCAGTTTTATAACTAAAACAAAGCTACGAAATTCAGCCTTTTCTTAAAATTTTACAGAAAAGCTTTATAGAATTAAAATTAAATTGATATTGTCGGTTAACAGCTGGGAGAAGACTATAATATTAATCCTTTTCTCAAATTCCACTAAAATTTCACTAGGATAAAATTAAATTTGATAAGCAATGAAGAAAAAACATATGAGCATGATGAGTTGAGAATGATCTTAGTACGTACATTTTCATTCCTAAAATTATTTTGATATTTTTTTTGTAGTTATAGTTTTAAATTCATAGTTCCTGAAAATATTATTGCATATAAAATTAGCCATCATATCGATTCAATCATTTATATTTTAAGATGAGCAGAAATGGCAATAGAAACGACTAATTTGGTTTATGTTTAATTGCAATGAAACAATTTCCTCAAACTCAGTTGGCATATTCTCCAATACTATTATTTTTTTAACGCTTTATAATTCATTAAATCGAATCATCTAAGTATACATAAATACTTAACAATCACTTTTAAAAACAATTTAATATTTGAAATGCAAAATTAATCTTCACTGTAATATTTAAGGAGTAACAGGAACTGTAAAAATTACATAAGCAATAAGTAGGATTTATTATTATTTTCTCTCACATCTTTTTTTTACCGAATAATCTTAGAAAAAAAATTTTTTTTTTTTGAACTATTTGACATTAATTAATCTTTATCTTTAAAAAAAAAAAGAAAAAAAAAAAAAAAAAAAAAACATTATTCTTTCTTACATATAGTAGTAAATCTTCTAGAGATTGCTCTACCCGTCACATTTCAACCATAATATCATCCTTAAAATGCACCTTTAAATTTCTGAGCCATTACACTAGCTGCACTTCTAAGCTTACACGCTACAGCTTATTTTTAATTTTTATCATTTTAAAGCAGTTTTTAAATGCCAATATTCCGTTTTTTACCTTACTGATTTCGGTAACAATTACTGCTGATGTCCTAAACTTTTCAAAAAATTGTTCTTCAATTTAATGTAGATTTCGGTGATATATTTTGGTAAAGTTAAAAAAGTAAAAATATAAAAATTACTATTTTGTTTGATGTAAGAAAAAAGTGTTCTTACCATTTATCATACAATCTTTTATACTTCAAGTTTAATTGATTTAATTTAAATATATTATCTCAAAATTACGATTTATTTTAAGAAAGCATTAAAATAAAAATTTCAATATTAGATTTCAAATAAGCTTAGTGTCCATTATCTAATCATCGATGTATAGATGCTAACATTAATACTTTTTCATTTTCAATTAAACAAAAATGACTCAATCATTTCATATTTCGAACTCATTTTTGCTAGATTAATCTTGGCTCATATTTCTAAAAGTAAACTTAGCTAAAGCTACTATGCTGCTATTCTTTTTGATTATTTTTCTTTTCCTGATAGATTCCAAAATAAGTATTACAGAAAGTAGCTATTATCATCTGCTTCTCTTAGTTTGAATAATAGAATTCACTAATGGAGTATGAATATGAACCACGATATTGTTTTCGATTAGTGCCATTACAGGTAAGTTCTTAAATTAATATTACTAAAGTTAACTTAAAAAATTTTTCTATACAGACATATTTGTTGTATTCCTTAAAATACACCTATTGCTATCGGAATGAAATTCAGTAGCAACTATCAGTCAGCTAAGCAACTAAACCTAAGTGACTAAATAGAAATGTTGCATTTGTAACATAGATTTATGTTGACGTCATTATCGCAAAATTAATTTAGCATACTAATTCTAATTTTTGCATGTATTATAAGAGATTGCAATTAGTTAGCGCATATTGCGAAACATAATTTATTACAATTTGCTAATGCAAATATAATTAATAGTTACTACTGTATAATATTTGAAAAATTTTGTTATATTTATTGCAGATTTGTTGCAAATTGTTTGTTATCGGTGACATTCTTCTTCATTTGCTTATTTGTGGATTTTTCGTCAAATTAGCAACATTAGAAATGGTTTTCATACCATTTGGTGTTGCTCAATTGATGCTAACCCTCTTACCTACATTATTTTACATTGGTATTATAAACGAATCGGATAGGCTAATGATACCGATGCTAGTTGCTAGAGTATGCTCATTGCATATTATTGTTGTTGAAATTTATGCAAACAATATGCGAAATGTGATGGAAATTTAGGGATAAAAAAGAAGTGTAACTGTACATACAAAAGCGTCGATATTTTGAAATTTTAAAACAATTACAATATTAGCAAGTAAGTGTCACTTCTAAGCATAGCTATATGCAAAATCTGTACAAGTCGTTGCTAATAATTAGAAGTTTGAAAGCAGTTTGATAAGCATTTATCATCATATTCATTTGAATACAGATAATCTAAGCTAGCTTATTGTAATTGAGAACAAATCATTCTACTATGTCGAAGCTGCTAATCATAATCAAATTAGTATTAGCAATTTCAGATCAGAAAAAAATTTCAGATTATAATGATGTTGATAGTTGGTACCGTAACGATCTTAACATGGATTGCATTTGCATTGTTACTATTTTCACTTATTCATCTCGAAAGTCCAATTAGTAGTACTTTCAAATATATAAATATTTTTTTTTTTGAAAAATATCCCTAAATCACAAAAATTTTAAATCACTTAATAATGATTACTTGAATTGATTTGTTTAATTGATTGCTTAATCAGCAATGTACAAAATGAAATTATCAGTTATCAATTGATCTTCTGAATAAGAGACAATGACCATGAATATGCATGCAATTTGGTAATAATTTAATAAGATTTTCTATAGTTTAATTTATATGTTACAGAAAGGCTATCGCCATCAACATACTTAGGATTGCAAACTATAACAACGACAATATGTTGGATAGTATTAATATTGGAAGGATCTATCTTACAAGCCGGTTACAAATACATTAAAAGACGAATGGTTCAAAGAAACGCCGAAGAAGAATTCACACCATTTGTGAATGGTGGTAGTTCAACAATGAAACCCACTGCTGTGTGACAGATATATTTTTCATTCATTTTATGAATTCTTTCTTTTCATCAAGTGTGAAATGTTATGTATTATAAATTTTAAATTATTTACTCTAAATATTATTTGGCTGAAAAAATATTTATTGCTTATAACAAAAAAAAAAACTTTAATAAATTGATATTTTCATATCTAAATAAAAAGAGTATTATTTCATTTCATTTCTAAAATATTTACAGTGTAAAATTATATCAACCAATATCATAATATTATAAGATGGACTTTTTTTCTGCTATTAGTGGTTATAAACTGGATCAAATATCATTACGATCTTAGCAGATAATAAAAGTGGTCAAATATTTGTTCATATTATTGATTAAATGAAATTTCTAACACTGTTATGTGAATTTTATTTTATTTATGTACAACTATCTTAAGCACTGTAGGCTAAAAAAAAAAGTTGAAATGCAACACAACTCAAAGTGCTTATCAACAATTTATGTAAATTCATGGTAATTTATGCAAATTTATGCAGCTATTTGTAAAAACCTAATTGTAAAAGAATTTCATGTGTGATGTTCAAATATCTCTGTTAAATTGTAAAATATTACTTTAACGTAGTATTCTTACTTGTAAGATTGTAAGCTTCGTAATGTCAAATGTAATTGCTTGCATCATTTACTCGCATCAATTGAATGGAGCAATATCGATGTCTATTATTCCGAAGGCAAGATTCTTGCTGATTCCATCGTATTTATTTTTTTGAATTCATAAATTAGCTATCCTTGTTGAATTTAGCAGATTTTAAAGCCTAAGTTAGATTGAAATAATTTCATCTGAATAACATCGCTCGGTAACTCAAAATGGAATTTTGATAAAAAGATACAATAAAATATTAAAGTTCAGGTTTGAATTAATGAGATAATTATCAAAGATTTAAGGAAGAAAAAAGGAAAGATTCATTTTTATAACAAATAAAATTTGATTGAAAGTCTAACTGAAAATTTTAATTTTAATTTCTGGCTTGCTAGCGTGAACTTGTTCTAGGTGCAAAAAATTAAAGAGCCTGTTGAAAAGCCAGAAACTTCATTTTTCCAATTTTTTGATGAGTCAAAATGCGGGTTGAATTCAGTTACACATTAATTTTATGATTTAATAATTTTACAGAGTCAGTTTAGCAAAAGAAATCTGGAAGTTCTGATCGTCAATTTATTAGATGTAGCTAACTGAACTTGATACGAAAAGATAGTACTCAATGGAAACTAAATTCAAATATTTAAAGTTTCTAAAAGCCTAACAACTGTCAAACTATTGTAAATGGATAACATATTAAAAATGTATTGATGATGATACCGTGGGCATGAAAAAAGATAATGACCAACATACGAAATGGTGAATTTGATTAAAAATAGGTGAGTCAACATAAAATTCGTTTGTTATACCATTATGTATAAAATTATTTTCACTTTATTTTCCCAGAAAAAAATGGAAAATAATGCAGGATAAAAGGATAACAGCAAAAATAATACATAATTGCTAATGTGGAAATAAAAAATGCTGAAAAAAAAAATTTATTCAGTAATCAAAAAATGCTAATGAAAAAAGATGACATAAATTAGTGTTCCAAAAATTGTTTTACGTTTTGAAAACATTTCTTACTTTAAAGTAGCATATATCATAATGATCAACTTCCAATTTTTTGTAACAAAAAAAAAAAAAAAACTTTAACTTGCAGAATGTGCAATTTTGCCCAATCAATAATGTGCAAAATACCACTCTGTCATTATTTGAAAGCAGTAAGAATGATCAGCTAATAATGCGAAAATTTCCATCATTAATGAATATTTCTGAACTGCTTATTTTCAATCAATTAACGACACGCTAATATTTTATTAGCAGGGATGCATATCAATGCCCACTTAAAAATCCTTAAATTGCGCAAATGTCCATTAGTTGTAAATTAACAAGCTGTATCGTTATTAAAATCTCAAACAATGCATATTTCCGATCGATTAATGATATGCAAACGATTGTCTATTATCTTTCAAAATTGTAAAAATATGCCACTAAGATCAGCTGATAATGCGGAAATATTCATCAGTTGTCATTTCATGTTGTTCGGCAATGCTTTTCCTATATCCTTATGATTGTTATACAAAAATTTTCCTTCTTATTAACAATACATAAAATCAGAAAAAAAATACAATGATAAAAAAAAAAAAAAAACACTTATAAATGAATTGCATTCATTTATTCACTTCAAAATTTAACAAAATTCATGTAATTCAAAAAAAAAAAAAATACAAAAAATACTTCAAAATAAGAAAAAAAAAATTACGAAAAATATCTTCAAATAAGCATAACAAGGAAAAAAAGCAACTAACAAACGAATAATGTCTGTAGTTAATTATATTGAAAAGGGACGAAATCTTTTCTGTTGTATAAAAGAAATAATTTTTTTGAAATATTACATAGCAAGAGAATATTCATTTTTCCTACATTCACAATTTTTTAAAAAAACTAGGAAACTAATTTTTCTGAAATAAACTGCGAACACAATTTTTGTATCATATTATAACTTATTGTTAAGCTTCTTCGTTTATATTTTATGAATGCATTTATTAATTTTCAATAATCCTCGCAAATGACTGGCAGTATTGTAAAGCACGTTGATCACATGGCAGACAAGATACATCAACCGAAGATTTGAAAGTTTTCTGGTCCTCACCCTGAATTTTTTTTCCAGTACCTGTGAAAGTTTTCTTTCGAATGAATATAAAACAAAAAAAAAAAAAAAAAAAAAAAAAAAAAACGACTTTTTTACGATTATTCACTATTCAGCTTAAATTAGTAATCTTTTTCGTATGTATGTCGATAAGTAATTCCAGAAAGCTGAAACAATTGATTAGAAATATCGGTATACTCTTTAACAAAAGCTGCACTCATTATAAACTGTTTTGATTCAAACATAAAGACGTTAGCTATCGATAACGAAAGATTCCGAATTTTCGGATATATTTTTTATTTTAGAAAAATAAAAGAGTACAAATAACCACTTCGTTTCACTTATTTCTTTCGTTTTTTTCTCTTATTGGCATCATAGTTTATATACTTATTGTTACTTTGCTTTCTTTTTAAAGATTTATTTAAGTTATAAGCAACGGAAAACTTTATCGTTGTTATTCAACTGTTTTGCAAATAAAGTTCATTCAGTTCTTACTGGATATTCCTTAATCATCATTGATAAATAATTACTGATATCTTGATAAGATTTAATAGTTTGTTGAAAATTGATTCAATACATTTTTTAAACTTAGTATAATTCATTCTTCCTTCTCCTATCTTTCGCTTCTTCTTAGTCCTTATTTATTCTTGCATCAAAAACTATATGAAATTTATCAGAAACTTGGGATTCACATCATTTCCATGGCACATTTTCATTCGAATAGCATCTCCCATTTCCAATTCAACACTGTATGCGGCCATTTGGATGCATTTCGTTTTGGCAATCAATCGACTTTGGGCAATTTCATATCCGATGAAATATCATCGTATTTTTAATCCCAAAAATGCTTGGATAACAGTCATATCTCTATGGTCATTTAGTATGCTAATCACTCTGCTTTATTACAACGGTATTCGCTTTCATCATTTTAAAATAAGATACAGCAACACTTAGATTATCTTCCTTCTTCATCTCTTTATCTAAATTCGAAAATTTTAACTCATAGTCGAATGCCTGCTTTATGTCGAAGCTTATATTCATTCATGGTCAAACCTTTATGGACCATGTAATCATCCTTTCTTCGCTTATATTGCTATGTTCCTGTCCGATGGTGTCATCGTTATCACTGTTATTATCGATGCCATTGCTTTTTATCGCATCATCACTTATTTCAAAGTATGTTTTAATTTCACAGTAGCTAAGTTATTATAATTTTCCTACCAAAATACCAAAAAAAAGTTTTGATTTCTTGGCATTTCGAAGATTTATTAACACATCAATAATTTTTTTTTATCAAATTTGACGGAATTTTTAGCTGCAAACGTTTTTTAACTCCAATAATTATTTAATTTATATTGAATACAATTGTAGGAAAAAAGGCTTCAGAAGGCTAATGTAACTCAACGAAGGTTGAGGCAGGAAATCTCATTTTTCAAACAGGTAAAAATAGAATGAGTTGTTTTACACAGCAGTTGTAATTTTTATTGATTTTTACCAAAACTATTCGAGGCGCCAAAGTCACTGGAAGCCTCCTTGTCTGAAAGAAAAATTCATTGACTTGGAAGGTATGAATGAGATTGACTTTACAAATATTTTACTTTTTACAATCACTTTGATTCCTCTCCACCTTATCCAAGAAGGCGACGATATATCTTCGTGCTTTATATAGTTCAATCCATATACTTTTTTTTTTTACAAAATACATAAAGCAGTAACTACCACATTTGAATATAAACTTATAATTGTCACATTCATTCATAACACAATATTTAGTTACGATAACTTTCACTGTAACTCCATTTAGAAATCAATTAAAGATTATATATTATATCCCAAAACTTTCAAAGTCTTAAGTCTTATATCTCAAAAGCCATCCCTCTGCCTTTACATTAAATAGAAAATCAACCAATTTAAAAACAAAAAATGCAAAGAAAAAAAAAAAAAAAAAACATCCAATTAAAACGAAACCCAGAACACTTAGAGACCTCTCTCCCCAAAGAAATTTTTGTCAATAAAAGAAATTCTTTAAAGATCAATCAATAAATTAGTAAGACAATAATGGCCATAAAAGACGAATAGCATCCAGCAGACAACACCAAAGAATACAACTAATTATTACTTCCACCGTTATTCCATATTTGTGACCTTCTCTCTTCTCAATTCAAAAAATTGCGCTTTTCATTCTCATCAATACAAATTTGAATTTGCGCATATGAGAAATGTTTTTTTTGAAATAAATAATGATAAAATTGAAACTTATCTTTCACATATTATTAGGAAGCATTTATTCGGAAAGCTTTGATAATTTTTAGAATAGACAAATTTGTCGTTTTTTAAAAATACTTCTAAATAAAACTTCAACAGTGCTTGTTTTTAGCATGAAATAATAAAACATTCTTGCTCTACAGTACTTTCCATTTCTCAGATTGAGCTGATTGAAATATATATTTTTCAGACGGTGCTGGATTTGAATTGGTCAAAATATGTATTTTTCAAGCAGTGCTGGATTTGAAATAACAGTATATTCGTAAATATTTATTTCAATACTTTTCAATACATAAAATTAGAAGGATAAATAGTTTAACTAACAATATTTAGTCAACTTTATCTAATTAATTACTATGACACTGGAGAAAGAAAACACCTAATTAAAGTTGCAATTCTAATTTCAAATAAATTTTATGAATGTGTAAAAATGGCGGAACTAATAAAGCATGGTCACTTTAATTTAGGAAAATTAACTGAAAAGAAGTTGGTCAAGCGGTGCACTGAATCAAAGTGTAAAATTTGCTTTGGCTAAACTCAACATGAAAGCATCAATCAATTCTTTAATCAACAAATTTGATTGGTCTGGTGGGCGAGTCACTCTATCTATTGCGATATCCGAGGGATTCAAATCACCAAATATTTGAGGGAAAATTTTACGTATGAATGATAATAATCCATGTTCAATTTGTTCAGATACTGGTAGCAACAGTCGAATTACATTACCCCAAAACTGATTTAATTCTCCGAATGTTTCAAGAGCAATTAAATTCACTTTATTAGCACGTAATACTGCATCAAGCGGTGACAACTGGCTATCATGTAGCACTGTACCTGTCATATTTCCAACGTGACCTTCACTTGAACCTTGCGTGATATTCTCCCCCTGAAAAATTTATACTAATATGTTTTGATGAGGTTTAGTTTCTAGATTCCTAAATGGATTAACCTAAGAGACTAGATTAAAATACAATTTGGCAACACGAGATTGGAATGCTTTTACAACTAATAATGGTTCGATAATCATTCACTGTATTTTGTTCGTGTTGTTAAATTTAACGTACGTTAAATTTAACCATGAAAAATCATTCATTGCTTACCCAAAGATTCGACGGAAAAGCGCAAATTAAAATAAGGAGAAGAAAATTTTGCATGGGACACATATTCCGACGTAAGTATAAGCACATACTGAAAAAGGCAGCAAAATTCTTTGAGGGTGTGTCAAACGTCGGAAACTACTTGTTTGTTTCGATGATTAATTGAAATGAAATGGTCATAATTTCTAAATAAACAAATTAACATTAAAAATTGCTCTAATCTGTTATTATGTAGTGAAATGGATACAAACAATTAGATTAAGGCGAAAGTTTACTCTGATGTTTTTGTACATTTTATAATCTTCGCAAAATCAATGCATGAGACATAATCAGTATTGCTAACCTGAAATCGAAAATATTGATTTACTAGCACTTGTTGCTTAAAAAAATGAACTAATGAAGTTTTGTTCTTGTTAACATTTCAATTTAAACATTTCGGTGTGCCTTTCTATTCATGCCCCATTAAGAACTAAATTGAATTGATTAGAAGAACTTGCAAATATGTTTGTAAAATCAAGCCACCAGAAATATATAGCTGTAGAATCCAGGATATCTTGAAACATAAAAAAGGCAATTCAAAACAAAGAACCAGTTTTCATCAGGGTTACCCGTAATTGCACAGAAACAAAAATCGTTGCTCGGCTGTCCTCACCAGAAGATATTGTCCATGGTACCAGAAGTACCAGAAGTACCACGGACAATATCTAACAATTGCATTCCATCTGCTGAGTTGATGTCACTGCTTTTCTAGATTAGAAAGAAAATAACACCAAAATATCACCCATCATAAAAATTTCATTCCACGAGGCCAATATTTAATAGTTATTACTGAGGCATTTATTTTGAATCGAATAAAGTAACACTCCAAAAGGGAAAATAAACATTAACAGGGAAAACTATGCTGCAGAATAATTAATAGTCTCAAGGCAAATGGAAATTTTGACAAAATTTTGACTGGAATTATGTTGCAACGATTCTGCGTCCTTTCTGCATCGAGAATTAATGTAATTTGAGATGGAACGAGTCATAAAGTTGAGCAGTTATGAAAAACAGATACTGCGTTTAAAAGAGAAGAATGGTGCTATATCTGATGCCATGAATTTAAATTCATTTTTTAGTTAAATGAATCAATTCGAACAATTACTGGGTTAATTCCAATGGTTACATTGATATTAAAAAGATAATGAAACAACAGCCGAATGTTGTGGAATTTTACAAATATCCACTAGAAAAATTCATTATATTTATCTTATTTAATCTAAATGTGATATAGGCATCATCAATTTGACTTGGAACTTGAATATGATCTAATTAATTTTACGATGTAACTGAATATGCTTCGCACTGATTTGTTTTATACAGAAACCTAGAGAGATTCACTTAAACAGGAGAATTTCTTTATCAAATTGCATTTAAATAAAGCACTTCCTGCAATCTCAAAATATAATTTCAATTTCATTATTTTCTATGAAATTAAAATTTCATCTTCCCCACCAATAACTCCGCATCAATTACTTGAGATATTTACTGCTAAATCAGAAGTAGTTACTTGCATCACATAAAATTTGTTATAATGATTAATTCACAGTGTCAGATTATAGAAGTGAATTGACTGTTAAATTCTTGTTATGATTCATTTGTATGTTTACCAAATGGACTGAGAAGCATAAAACATTTCAAATATTATCCGCAGATAATATAAATCAGTACAACAAAACTTGTAAGCCAGAATTTAAATAATAATTAGTTTCTTTCGTCAATTAAATTGACCTTTATCATTATCATTCGATTGCATGAAAGAATATGAAAATTTGAAGTTTTTTTTTTTTTTAATAAATCTGTTAAAAGAACTTCTTCTGTTGTATAATTTTTACTATTACTATTAACATATACGTAACATTTAGATAAATAAGTATGATTCTTTTTTTTTAAATTCTCGTAATTTCATTCACTTCGGTTAAAATTAAAAAAAATTCCAGATGAGCTGTTATTCATGCTATAACTCAAAAAATAAATTAAATATTTTGATATAATGAAATCATAGCATCAATTACGTTGCATAAAAATGTGAACATTCAGTGAGAAAATTCATTTTCCTATATTTCTCTTCAAAACTTATTTTAAAATCACAAAGCAAACATAATTTTTTTTTTTCATTTTCGTAATTTCATTCACTTTGGTTAAAATTAAAAATATTCCAGAAGAGCCGTTATTTATGCTATAATTCAAAGCTTGTAATATTATTAAAAAACTATCAGAACAAATATCACTCAATTCAATAACTATTGTTATTGCTGCCATATTTAATATGTGCATTAGGATGACAATCTTTGATCCATCTTCTCTTTAAAGTTAGAAAAAGAAGCTCGAGAAATGAAACAAGAATGCACAACAAGGTTTAACGAATCAAATGTCATGATTTTCGATCATTTTTCAGAGCAGATTCAGACACATAGTATTCCTTTCACTTAATTATAATTTTATCCATTTCAACTGCTTGACCACTGAGAACGGCAAATTGTAGTGATTCAAACACTTCTAGAAGTGAAATTTACTTAGAAAGAAATTACGCATCATTAGTAATATAATAGGCTTACCGCAAGTAAGTTTTAAAATGAATGTTTTGGAATTTTGAGATTTCAAGTAATGAGAAAAAAAAGAATTAGCATGAAATTGATTAAATTTACAAATTTCCAGTCATTTCAATTATACGGTAATACTTTGTCCTTCATGAACAATTTTTAGAACAAACTTTGAAGTGCAAAGTTCTTTTAATAACTGACTGTGCATTTTCAACTTTCTTCTATTAAAAATATCAGCTATTCAATCTTAAGTAACGTCTAACCTCGTTTGTATCTATGCCATTGTTCTCGTTCCATAGATCTGGAAGCTTCATTAAGTTCAAAAACAGTTCGATGTTGACAGTGATGAATGATCATCGGTGACTGCAAATTTTCAATATCACCATTAGTAATACGACCGGTTATTCGATAAGTTCGCCTGATAACTGCTGGATTGTTATAATGTCCCTTCTGTAATCAAAAATTTGAAGTAAAAAATAATATGCTCTCATTGGAAATGTTGAAAAAATATATACATATATTAAAAGAAAAAAATAGAGCTTCATGAAATCTTTGAACAATTATCATCGATTAATGAATCATTTATCTCACCATTAATTAAAGAGATTGTAAAATATTCCAGAACTTCATGTAACAATAAAATTCACTTTTATTGCTAAAAGAAAAGAAAAATAAACAAGCTATAGTGTGTTAACACTAGCTAGTAAAAAATTAAATCTATCACTTTATTTCATTTGGGAATTATCTTATGCTTACATTTCAATTAATCTTTAAAATTTTTAGCTCAAAAAAGACATTCGAGCAATGTAACTATTCCTATTCCTAAGCTATTATCCTAACAAATTTTATTTTGCGCTAATTCATAGCTTTTATTTAGCAAAACTTTTTTTCTACTAATCTTTGAAATAAAAATGAAAAACCTCCATTTTTTCGATAAAATCAATGAGACTAGTTGGTGGTGCAACAACTTTTCGATCCAATTCCTTGATAAAACAACGATTTGATAATAAATCCACGATTGCTGTCAAATTCTATAAAAAAAATGTAGTAATTAGAAAAAATTTTTTAAAAAAAGAAGCAAAAAACACTCAATTTTTCCATTTTCTTCGTGCAACAAAAAAACATTCAAAATTTCCATCAAAATTATTTTATGAAACGATTTCATTTGAATAGAAGAGAGCGCTTATATCACAGGCATCGAAAATATGAAGTCGAACTTGAACTGCAAAAATATATTGACTAAAATAATTCATTTTTTGCATGACTGCTTTTATGTTGTGCTTTACAAATATAATAATAACACTATAACTATAATAATAATAGTAACAGTAATAATAATAAATAAATAATAATTTAATAACAATAATGGTAATAATAATAATAACAAAAGGATACAAACCATATCAAGAAGTAAAAAAATTATATGCAAATATTTGTAACAATTTTTTGAAATTGGCAATTACTCGAACTATTTTTAACTAAATAAAACATAATCAAAGTAAAATTCATTCCTATATTTTTAATTTTAATGAATAATTTGATTGATTAACTTTGATGCTTAATTATTAATGAAAAATGATTTTTTTGTGTGACTTGAAAAGTTTGTTGGAATTTTATAGGATTTAACTTTTTGCACTTTTCATGCACTGTTATTTGTGCTGAAATAATTATTTTAGTTAATGAAAAGCTCGCGATTTCTTTCTATAATTTATAGTAATTAGAACAATGAATAACCTTTCTAAAATCATGCACAAACACTGCTGGACGATTTGATCCAAATCGTGGCACACTAATCCTTTCATAGTACTGCAAAATATAATTATGATTCCTGAAAAGTAATTAGTATTTCCGACAGAAATACCTTTGATTATTATTCGATAAAAAGTATTTTTTTCCTGGTATATCAAGACTGTTTTTTTTAAAACAATTTTTAGTTTACCAAGATAGTTAAATATATCTTCATAAATGAATGATATTGAAATCGTTTTGGCACAATTATCTTCGATGAAAAATTATTTCTTATTTTTATCCTTCCGAATTACTTGTCAGATAAATTGGAAGGTTTGTTTCTTTTCATATTTCAAATTATTTCTAAAAATAAAAAGCTCAATTATTAAAAATACTGAATGTATTCCCGGTATATTTAATCATGTGGAAATATCTCTGTTGCCAATTATACACAGCAAACATTTTTTTCATCATTCAAATTATTTTGTTAAATGAGATTTTTTTTTTTTTTTAATTTTCAAATTATTTCTTGCAATTCTTATCTTTTTAAATTATTTCTCTAAATAAATAACTTTATTCATTTTTAAGTTTCAAATTATTTTTAGAAATAAAAGTTTTTTTTTTCATTTTTCTTCAATAACGTTTGTTCCTTCATGCAATCGCTAAAATTGATGAGTGAAATCGGAAAAAAGCAAAAAAAAAAAAAAAAAAAAGAAAAAGAAAAAGAAAAGGCAAAGGAAAGGAAATAGAAGACTTCAGAAAAAAAAAATAAATAAAAATAGCTATTTTACATAATAAAAAGTAACGAGCAGGAAAATTTAATTTAAAATGCATCCAAACGTATTTTCCTATCTATCATTTCTGCAATGTGGCAGTTGTTTGAAAGGTAATTATTTGTCAAAAAAAATATATATATATATATATATATATATATATATATATAAAGAAGGGTAAAATAATTCTGATAGTTGAAGAATGATAATTCAGATAAATCATTGATAAGGTTTTTTTTTTTTTAGTGGAATATCTTAGGATCGTTTATCTTTGGAAAATCATTGTAACAAGAACGAATAGAATTCAATGAAGATAAAACATTTTAAATAATTCGATGATCACTGATTTTTGTTGCTGATGTTAAAGTAAAATTTTAATGAGTTATAAAAACAAAAGATTCTTTCCTAAAGTAGTCAACAATTTTTTAGATGTTACATGATTTTAGCCAAAAAATAGTTCATCATACAAGAGAAAGGAATCAAATTATTTCAATTTTAAAATTTTTGAAAAATTTTTTACAAAAATTAAAACTTTCGTCATTGCAACTTAAAAATAATGCAAGAAGAAAAAATTAGATTCAATGAGAAATAACATAGAAATAATGTACTGAATAACTTTTTTTCGTATTTTGAAAATGTAAAAAGTATGCTTAGAGTTAAGAAATAGTTTATCTAGCAACAATTACTGAAATAGTTTGACCTTCCAAATGCATATAATCAACATTCTTACTTCATCAGGATTAATCTCCACACTTTCTTCCATATGTTCATTTCGTCCACGCTGAATAAAACTTGTCCCGCACCATCCGTAATATGTTGGACGACGATTAAATTGACGATAGAAAAATGTGCCAGCCATAAATGAAGCTACTAGTAACCAAAGTATTAAAAATATCATGCATAAACTTGTAAATTTTTTATACTGCCGTATTCGGGCCAATGTTCCGGTTTCATCACGCTGATAAACGGCTGAATCAACAACTGTTGCAGATTCTTTTGACCTCAATACTTTTTTCACTTCGGGTACCTTTTTAACTTTTGTAAATACCGTCATTTTATCTAAAAGCAAAAAAAGATGAAACAAAAAGATCAATCAATCAATCAATCGTTCAATTAATTAATTGTTTATTTTCATTTACAATAATATTATTTTGCAGTAAATGATGTGAAAAGTACGAAGAAGAAATAAATTAATAATTCATATTTTTCATATTATGCAAATTTATATTAAAAATATCGACAGGAATATTAAAGATGTAGCAGCAGTTAAAAGGAGAAAAAGGGAATTGGATTCAAAAGGTTGATCAAAAATAAAATAATCCCAGAAAAGCATAAACTATTATTCTGGACATGGAAAATAATTGGGAATTTTTTTTAATATTGTATCTTCATCAATCAACTAGTCTAATTTTTGGAGCATTTTTTTTCTTTCAAATAATTAGCATCTGAAATTCTTCCCTCTTTAAATTTAGCAAATTTAAGCGTAAATTCGATTGAAAAATACTTAAGAAAGTATAAAGAAAGTTTGAAGTAGAAAAAATTTCAAATGAAATGAACAGAAATAAATCAACAGATAGACACACAGCTTATGGTAACATCCAAAAAAGCCATCCGGCAATCTGCAAATTGTTCAATAAATCTTTTACAGAAAATTATTTATAGAAATTAAGCCACAGACTTCATCAGTTATAGTTTCAAATGAAAATATTACACGATCATAACTCAAATAATTTAATCGAAGTTAAAAGAGATTATCTGTTGGTCGAAAGGGAAAAAGATGAATATAAAGACAATATATGCATGTAATCCAATATTATATTATCAATGGAATTATCACTTAATATTATGTGATATATTTAACTTTCTCAAATATAATTAATAGAAATCTTAATTTAATTCTTTCAAAAAAATTTTTGTTTGTTATCTTAACAAAAATTTACTTAGCTGTCAGCAAATTAATTCTTATTTTTTAACGAAAATTAATTACATAGAGAGCTACAATGAATAGGAAAAACATGAAATCTTTTAGAAAAAAAAATTTTTTTCTTCTTTTGTGCATCACACTTCCCCATTAAATTCTATCACTTTTATTCTGACGGATTATGCAAATATAGGTATATACAAATGAAAGAAAATTTTGAAACGAAATTTAGCATTCACAAAACAATTTTAGCAATTTTATCCCCCTTAAATGCTAATTGTGCATCAAAAAATTAAAAGCTTGGATTTCAACTAATTATTCCAATTGTTTCAATTTTCCATTATCAATATGCCATCTGTCCACGAATTGTTTATAATTTTTGATATTAGCAAAAAAAAAAAAAAAAAAAAAAAAACGGCAACTGCACTAATTCCAAAGATGTATGTAAAAGAGAGAAAAATAACCTTTGAATTATTAATCGAAATCAATTCAGCATTATTTTTTTAAGTTTCAACTGAAGTAAAATAGATCTGAACTTTTTAACTGATGTATGATTGACAGCTTAAGGTATTGTATATTGCAATGAAATAATTGAATAAAATATGAAATTTAATTTGTAAAATGAGCGTTAGAAAATTCGTTATTTTAAAAAACAAACAAAAAATACATTGCATCCTATTTAGCATTTTGATTTGAAACAATGGATAATAATAATAATAAATTATTATTATTACTATTATTATTACCAAACACATTAGGAATGCTATTCAATTGAAAGAAATAATAATGAATAAAAAAAATCTAAATATCAGAATACTTCAGGGGAAAACAGAAAACAACAACTAATTTTTTTCAGCCACTATTTCACTAAAACTGACATTAAACTGACGTTTATTGTATTTCTAAAACTCAATCAAGCATGTTGGTTGGAATAAAACAATAAAAAATGAAGAATGAATTGAAGCATCCAACTTCATCAATGATTTTCATATATAGCAAGCATTATCAATGGTTTTTTCCTTGCTATATTAGTGATTTTCTCGATTAATATATACAATATCACTTAATGCATGATCAAAAATCCATTTTGAAAATATTCTTAACTTGAAATATTAAAGAAAATTAATGCTTTTGCTAGAACTAGATATAATAAATGAGAAATGACAGAAGAAACGAGATACTGGAAAAATGTGATTTGAGAATATTTGGGGCGGAATGGGCTACCACCATCACCGCCACAATCCTACTAATGCAGTAGTAGCATGCTTTGATGGAGGCTATTAGTACAATGCAAGGGTATTATAAATCGAATTTGCTTTCTCTTTCGTCCCTTCCAGTCTTCTATTAGCTTATCGAGCATTTCCAATTTAGAAGGTTAGAAAGTTGAAGCTTAAGACCAAATGAAGCATATATTTGAGTCTTATAAACAGCCTAGACTAAAGCGCCCAGGATAAACAGCCTAGCAAACGATAAACAGCACAGCATTAGTGTATATTTTTATTGGACAAAATCCATTTTACACACACATACTTGAATATATGTGCTTGATGTATGCGCATACATAAATACATTCATGTTACGCGTAAATATGTTTATATGTATACGTAAATACATTTATGCCTTATATATATTATATATTTTTTTTTTACGCATACGTAAACAAATATTCTATGTGTACTCACAATAGCCATATGCCTTTTCATTTCCTATAAACATATATAATATAAAATAATTTATTGAAAACTCTCACTTCTTTCTTTCTTCTATGATTCGTTTTTGTTAGCTCTGTTAATTCTAATTTTCTTCCTTAACTTTTTCTTCTAAGTTTCTGTACAATTTGACTTTGTGATAATTTCACGTTTTTTTTTTTTTTTTTTTTTTTTTCAGAAGTTTCATTTTATCTACTATTATTTACACAACATCATTTCAATTTTTTTTTTTTTTTTTTACATTCATTTAATAAGAATTAAGGATAGGAAAGAGTAATTTTGATAATTCATATATACATATATTTATTTATAATTATATGGACAGATTAATATATTTGTAAGAATAAATAAACAAACATTTTAGATTGGAAAACATTGCAAACAAATAGAGCAAACATTTATGCAATTAATAGAAAATAATTTTTTCTGTACCATCGTTTTCCCTTTTTTTCCATCTTTTCTTTGCCTTTTTTTTTATTCCTTCGATAACTTTTTGTTTGCTGTAAATTTTTATCGTTAGCGTGCACAACAAAGTATTGTAATTTGATGAAAGTCTCATTTAGCAAAATAAATCAAAAAAGCCATTTCGTTGATTTAATTTGTTTACTTATTTTTACTTTTTATTTTTTGCTTAATCTCGGTATTGTACATATTAGAATGTGAGAGGATAAAACAACGAATGTTAGCGATATTAAAGAATGAAATACTTGAGAGTTTTGCAAATTTTCCTACATGGTATTTATTACTATAAATTTAAATATTTAGCAGACTATCAACGGGAAATAAAGAAAAATATTAACAATTGAATTAACAAATCATGAAATCAAGAATACTGACTGATGGAGATTTATAATCATTGCAATTTCTCAAACTTTCCAAAATACACCAAAAGATCAGTGGAAAAATAAGCCTTTAGTATTATTAATAATTTAATGTAAATGCAAATCAATCATTATCATATACTGATTAATTAAGATAGTAAAACGCAAAAAAGTTTTAAAAAATATGAAAACACTGTTATGCAATTATCAAATGTCAAACTTATTTAACTTCAACAAATTTCCTAATCGTTTATAATAACATTTTTTCTTTCTTTTTTTCCGCTTATGTGATTTTCCCTTAATTTTTTGTTGACAAATCTATCCCTGAAATTAAACATTCAATCTTTTTTCTTTTTTTTCAGCCAAGTAAATAGCTATTCTTTAATGCTTTTCATTTTTAAAGCAGAAAAGAGTGAAACTAAATTGCATTTTGTACTACATTGAAGATTAAATTGATTTAATCCATTAAAAAAATTAATTTTTCTTTATCGATTAGCCATCGTTTAACCAATACGAAAAACAAATTCTGATATTTTAATAGAGTTGAAATATCGGTTGAAATATGCGAACGAATAAAAAATGATAGAAATATTACAAACAAATGGATAGATTTGTTGAGAGAAAAAAAGAAAAATGGTAATTAAATTACATTTTAGTTGCTATTTTGTGATGAAATGATGAAAAATTAAATTTTTTGTTAATTTAGCCACCAATAAAGGATATAATCACGTAGTCACATACAAAAGAGAAATATGAATGAAAATTTTGGCTTATTAAAAAATAAGTATTTCAAATTAAGCCATTTGTTTATCTCAGTGACATTGATATTAACTAATATGAATAATAGGATGATGTAATTAAAATATAACATTAAAAAAAATTAAAATATAAAATTAAAACATAGAAAAATAATAAAATGAACAGTTCGGCTGTTATCACTGCTAGAAGATTAATGTTACTAAAATTATTATGATTAATTTATAAACGGAAATTATATTTTACAACAATCAAATTAACTATTTTTAATATGTCAAAATCACTATTTAAAATCATTATATATGAAATTCGATTATTCCGAGATTTATGAGTGGTTTTATCTCACATTATGCTGGGAATTCTCAGTAGCTTTTAGAAAAATTTGCATGAGAATTGTGTAGTCGAACTTTTGATGGCATAGATTTACCTAAACTTCAATGATTATCATTTGTTAATAAATTGACATTTAAGTAACCCATCTCACTCCATATTTTCCACTTTTTTTAAAACTTCCTCTTGGAATTTAAAGCTGGTTTAATTTTTAAAATTATTCAAAATATACACATTAAAATAAATTGTTAATTTAAACTAATTTAACAGTTGATTAATTTGAATTAATCGTGATTTAACAGTTGATTAATTAGAATTAATCGTGATTTAACAGTTGATTAATTAGAATTAATCGTGATTTAACAGTTGATTAATTAGAATTAATCGTGATTTAACAGTTGATTAATTAGAATTAATCGTCATTCCCTTTATTTTATCAATTTTTCATTTACTCCTCATATAAATACTACCAGACCTACGCGCTTTATTATTATGAGACATGTGCGTCTTACTGTTATTATCATATATATGTGCTTACTGATATAAATTCGTAAGTGACGTGTCACCCTGAAAGTATGTTACAAAATTCTCTTCTCATATCATTTGCATCTATCATTTCGTATTTTCTGATAATAATAGTAATATCACTCCGACCAAATGAATATTTATTTATCTCAATATTGACTAATCATTGATGCATACATTAATACTACGAAGAATGATGACACAATGCGTTTGAACTAAGATATTTAAATCTATCAGAAATTTCAATTTTTAAGTGATAATAAATTTTAATATTTAATATATATATATCTAAAAATTATATTGAAGTTAAGATTTTTCGTACGCATTGTTTCACAATTCAACAATAACTCTTATCATTATCTTATCACCATTATCATCATTACCAAATGCCATCAAATCGTTAATATTGTCACAGATATTTCTTGTTCTATATTCCATACAATCACTAGCTTTTCGTTTTCATTATCAAATTATCATCGTTATAATTATATTAATCACTATCATATTATTTTCACTGCCAAACAATTAATTTACTGAAATTAAATAAAATAATATTTTCCTCATCAACGACGACGACATCATAAATTTGAAGAAATAATTGTTATAACCCAATTTTGATGAAATCAAAGATTTTCATTTCGCAATGAGACAATAATTATTATTCATTCATTCATTCTTCAAACGTCAATAAAATCGATAAACTCATTATTCTCTCCCTCTATCGGCCATATTATTTACTATCATCCTCTCTCTGGGCATGTTATCATCGATTGTCACACAGATGTCCTAGAAATTGAAAGGAAAGGAAAAAAGAAAAGGAAAGAAAGAAAAACTGTCTTTCCCTTCTTTTCTATCCGACATCTGATGAATAAATCTTTCAATTTTTCCTACATTTTTTTTTTTTAAATTTCAGAACTTTCCTCATTATTTCATCTTTCCGAACTTGGATATTTACATTTCTATAGATGTTGATATCTAAAAATCTATCTGGAACATTTAAACATATTATTTCAATCTTTTTTTTCTTTTTTAAAAAAAGTGAACTGTATAAACTGTTAAGAAGTTTCAAGTTTGCTTGTTTTTTTTTTTTTTTTTTCTCTTTTTTATCTTTTAGAAGGTAAAAAGATTCTTTTTTTGTTTACCATTTAGATATACATTCTTTATTTAGGCCAATCAAAACAGATATTCAATTGAAAATAGTATGAGTGGTGAAGAAAAGAGAAATGAATAATTGAAATCAATTTTTTTGAGAATTCTATTGGCAAATTAGTGTGCACTCTTGGGAATTCATAGACAAATTAATCTTTCTGTGAAAATTTCATCAGTAAAATTTGATTGTTTTTGAAAATTCCATTGATAAATTTAATTTTTTTCTTTTCTTTTTTTGAGGATTTTATCGATAAATTGTTGAATATCTTGTATGCATCATATAAATGAATTAATAAAATAAATGTTATGCATTTAATGAATGATGAAGCATTGAGATAACATTTTTTAAACAGTAGTAATTAAATAAAAATTGTTGAGAATTTTATTTTAGAAATATGCAAATTTTACTAATGCTTAATTATTGTAATTTAAAATGAAAGATTTTTAGTGACATAGTTTTATTATCACAAATCTCTCTTTTTTTCCCCATTTTTTTTTAAAACTTACTAAAGAAAGATGAATGTAAGCTCTGAAAATAGCACTTGAAAGCATTTTTCAAGCTTTTATTAGTTTTTATATTTCAAAATAATCGATATCACTTCCATTACTCTCATAATTTCCCATTTTCAGCAATGCTCTGCAAAAATCTGCAAAAAGAAAGAGAAAAAAACTTTTTTTTTGCATAATTTAATTTTGCCTTGAAATCCTGTAAAGCTTTTTCCACATCTTTTCTCGTTTTTAAAAGCTAAATTAATAATATGAAAAACTAGGAAATTAGAAAAATGAAAGTTATTGAAGTTAGGAAAATGAAAATAAAATAGGATAATATTAGAAAGCTTTCTAAAGAATTGATTCTAACATCATTCATTATGATTGTTATTTAGTAATCATAATTGGAAAATATTTAATCGAAATTATACAATCACTGATTTCTAATAGTCGTTAAAATTACTAGAAAACTAATTAAACCTTTTCCTATCTTTATTTTTGTGCTTCTTGATATTCAATGATACTTCATTTTCATCGAATATCACATTCATTAAGAAAAGATTTCTTTCTTTTTTAATTAATAAATGTCTTTAAAAGGTTTATATTTATTTATTTCACTGATCTAATTACTCCCTTCCTTTAAAAATTACACTGAAACCCAAAACAAATAGAAAAATTTTATTTAACAAATGAATGATTAAAATCCTATACGATCAACTGTAAAAAATGTTATAAAAGAGATTCGAAAAAAAAAAAAGAGATTTTTTAGAAATATGTTTCCGAAATTCACAAATAAGTCTTTAAATTCTATTTACTCCTTTATCTCTATTTACCTTTTTGTAATAATATTTATAACAAAAATAATAATAATTAATAGTATTATTACATCAATATTAATAAACTATAAGAACAAAAAAAAGAAATAAATTTAAGCATACTATATACATGAAATGTTTAAGTGAATTTTGCTTATTTTCACCTTCCTTATTCCTTTTTATAATATTCAGTGTTATTAAAGTTTTTATAATTTATAAGTAAAAGATAGTTCTGTCTAAATCCTCACTCAATATTATTGAATATTTTTTTCTTTTTTTAATATTTTTTTATTAAATATTATAAAAATATTTTTTTTATTAATATTTTTTTAATAATATTTTTTTTATTAAAATTAATAAAATTTATTATGTAATATTTTTTTTAATAATAATTTTTTATTATAATATTTTTTTTAACAATATATTTTTTTATTTTTTATTAAAATTAATAAAATTTATTATGCAAAATTTTGTGCGTTACATTATTATCGTTTATCATTGTCGTTGATAATTTTATTTTTATAATAAATTCCACTTGTATTTTCTATTCTGCTCATCTTTTGCTATCTTAAATAAATGACTGTACATTGTATTAGCAAATATGAATATTAGTAAAAGAGAAAAAAAAAAAAGAAATGGCAATTTTATAATTACATTATATTCACTGAAATGATATTTTAGATATATTTTAATATATTTTATTATTTTCTCCGTTAATTAATTAATTAATTAATTATATAAAATAGTTATTCATGGTTTATTTGAAAATTCGTGCAGTGTATACTTTTATTTTATTATATTTCCAATATTTTCATTATTTAAGTATGAAAAGTGAAATGAAAGAAAGATTCAATTTTATAAATTATATTATCATATCTATAAAACTTTGTAAAACTCCATCTCATACTTAATTTTTAATTTCCAAAAATGCAACCCGTTGTACCTCTACTCTTTCCTTATTTCGTGCCTCATGGCTTGTTTATATATTTCAACTGTTAAATATATATTATTCAAGTCCTGATTAATTCCTTCAAACAACATTTCCAGTTACTATAAAAATGTTGTTTTTTCAGTTGTTCCTTCCTTATTTCAAGCACTAATTAAATTATATATGTTTCTTTTTTTTCTTTTTTCTTTTTCTTTGGGAGAGAAAAAGTCTCAGAATTATATTTGGTGAAAAAGAATAATGTTGAAACATAGAGTATTGATTAATTTTGAAACTTTCTTCTTATGTTTCCTTCCTTTGAAAATTTTTCGTTTTCCTTCTACTATTTAGAGTTTTCATAAATTTAAAAAAGAATATGAAAAGATTTCGATTATGAATTAATACTGAAGGATGAAATATTTATATCAAATCAATATAGCATCTATTCCTAATATCTTTGTTCGCTCACTTTTGCAGTCTTTAAAACAATTAAATTATTCGTCTAACAGTTTTCATGTAAGATTTACAAAATATTCTAAAAATTAATGACCATTTGAAATTTGCATTCATTTGAAATTCTCAAAAGATATATTAATACGTTCACATTTAAACTGAATCATTTAATCAAATGGAATATCATTTTTTTTTTGTCTTAGTAGTTTAATACGATATGATATCTCATAATAATACTTCCAAATTACTTTATTAGTTTATTTCTAATCAGCCTGTAAGTATCTTTTCTTATAAATAAAATTATTTCTGAAATCATCCTATTATTCCAGTGATAAGAATTAGTAAAAGACAATAAATTTTATTAAATTTACTATGAGAATTATTAAATATTACTAGCAAAATATCTACAATAATCAAATTCCTTCCTAGAATATTTCCATTTGTGATAATAAATTTAAAAACTACACCATCTAAAATAATTTTAGTATTTTTGCATTTGTTAGATTTAAAATTAATTCAATGAAAATATTTTAAAATCATTTCAAAAATTATATCAGTTATCCTTCTATCATTTCATTTTGTAATGATAGTCTATACTATATGTTATCATCTTACGTTTGATATTTTAGTAATATCATCTTTTGTTTGTTTTAATTAAATTAATTAATCATTATGCTTAGATGGGTGTTTTTCGTGTTACAATATACGGCATTATGGCTGGTGTTTTCTTGTATGCGCTTGGTTATGATATCATTTATATGCCACGAATTGGATATACCTGGTGGATTTACAAATTAGTTATGCTAACAATGATTGATTTGGTTAGTCTTTTCTTTTTTAATTAATTAAAGGTTTACAAATGAAAAGAACACGGATTCGTTTAGATGAAATCATTTGTATTATTTCCAACAAAAAAAAAAAAAAACAATGCTAAACTTTTTTTGCTGCTTTCTCTCCCTCAAAAAAACTACTTTTGGAAGAAAATGTTAAAAATTAAGCAACTGTAATTTTTTTCCTTTATTAAAATTATAAAACTGCGAAAATAATTATTAGAAGAATTATTTTTTTAATATTATTAGAGAAATTATTATTATCATTATATTATTGGAGGAAACTTAATTAAATTTACATTAAGTAATGCTTCAATTCAACTTTTAAACTACGATTTATTAGACTTATTCAGAAGAGAATTTTTCCCATAAAATAACGTTTTTTCATTTCATTCATTCAATCACATATAACAACGAAATTGTTCCATTACTTATTTGTCAATTAAGTGAACTTTGAAAAATTTACATTGTGTCCAAAAAATTGACAGTAATTATGAAATTAATGACTTGAAAATTTTACATAGTTTTTTTTTTTTTTAAATCTCGCACAAAAAGAAAAAAAAAAGTTTGCAAAAGACATGTAGTAATAATATGAAATTTTAGCAGGGAAAGCATTACACTTGAATTAATCACAATTCTAAATAAAGTAAAAATAAAAAAAAATAAAATCAAACTTTTCCCTTCTTGTTTATTTTCATCAAATTAATTTATTGCTGTCATTTCAGATTGCATAGAATAATATCTTCTACTTTCGGTTTTATTTCTAGTGTGACACAGTATGACCAATGTCCATATAAACACAGGAAGAGGGAAAAAGTGAGAGAGGGAGGGACAGAATAGAAACAGAAATAATTAAACATATTGAGTCTAAAAAATTAATCATAAAAAAAAGAGTAGTAAAAGGAGCTCAAGTTTCATTATCTCTCGTAAATTAATACGCATTACTCAGGATTTAACACATATTATGTGGAGAAGCGTCTAATATCACGTGTACTCCGTTCGTTTTATTTCGTGATAAGATTTTAATTATATTATTTGTTTTAACCACACTGCACTTATAAAATATCTAACTTTACAACTTTTAACATTTCCCGAGAGAAAAAGTTAGAAATGATCAACCTTTTAATTATCTTACTATTTATATCATTTCATTCATTCTTATGAAATTTTCATAAAACATAATAAGAATCTTTTATTTCATTTTCATCTCAGCATTATAAAATGTTTTGAGATCTTTAAAAATGCATCTATTCGATTGAAGAGAAGAAATTTAGTGTAAGTCGAAATTTTTTTTTCTTTTCAAAATTTTATTAATAGTAAATAAATTAATGAATTAGATTGTTAACCGAAATCGTTTTTTTTTTTTTTAGGGAATCTTTACCATTGCTGTATTTGATGATGTTAAAAATTTCTAAAATTCTTAACAAACGAAACATTTGTAAATTTTATGAAATTTACAAGAAAGTTTTTTTTTTATTTACCAACTATATATCCTTTTATAGTAAAAATTAAAGATCTATAAAATATCAAAATTTCGAAAAGTAATTTATTAAATCATCAAAATAGAATAAAATTACCAATCATCAAAATAAACTAAAATTAAACCAAAGTAAAAATCATACAAAATTGTTCACCTTCCACATTTATTGGATTGTTATTAATTATTCCAATTTTAAGAACACTCATGAATTCTGAAATTTCCTCAATCTTTTGATACTTTAGCTGTTTACATTTATTTATTTAATTGTTTTTTTCTGAATTATTCTTAGCACCAATTCTGATCTTTCCTCCTATTACTACTAATTGGTCTAATTAATATCTTCTACTACTACTAATAGTAATACATCTTCATTTACTATAGAAAAAACTACTTTATGATATTGTAATTGAATATTTAAATGCTATTTGAATTAAATTAAAATTTTAGGTTTTACAAACAGTATATTATGCAATGTGCTTCATATGTGCATTGATGGATACATTGCGTGAAACAACCGAGTATGGACCACATAAAAAGCATCCGACAACGCCAAGTTACTGGCGTAATTCGAAACTTCATCGAATTTCTGATTTCATGTACTTTACTAGTGTCTTACCTGTTGGTGCTGTATGTTTCATTTTATTAATTTTTCACTAAATCAAAAATTTTTTAAATCAAATTTTTGAAGTTTTCATTTAATATCATCTAATTATGTTAAATGAAATTAAACAAAACTATTATCAAAGTTTATTCCTCATCCTATCATCCTTCTTTATCACTCACTTTGCTTATCATTGAACAATAAAATTAAAAAATATATTGCATTAAGCGAAAAAAAAATGGAAGACGAATTAATTAAAAATGAGTGCTTTTTGAAGTTATTATGAAAGTTATTATCTTTAATAATACTTAATTTGACAAATTTTTGACACTTGATTAATTTAAAACAAACTAAGCCACAAAAAAAATAATTAAAAATACTGAAATATTCTCTTTCATATAATTACATAAAAATTTTCCACAAATTTCAGATAACCTGTTTACTTTTTTGGTCTTTATATGCTTTGGAACCAACATTAGTAATACCAAAATGGGCGGAAGAGTTAATTCCACCTTTTATGAATCATATCACTCATACTGCACCATTACCATTCATTCTTGTTGATACACTTTTAACTTGTCATCGAGCACCTTCACGAAAGATTGGTAGTATTATCATTATTGCATTGGTTATCTTCTACTTTTCTATGTAAGTTTTTTTTCTTTTGTACATTTTTAACCGTAACTTTTAAAATTTCTTCCACAAAATACAATCACTTGATGTAAATTGATTTTTATGATAAGATTTAAAAATATATGATTTAAAATTTCATCATATAGATTAAAAAATTTTCTGTCCAATTAAATTATTGTAGTATCTGTGCATAATCGACATCAAATTAGTTTATGATTATTTTAGAAAGATTAACAAAATTTATTTCTAGTAATTCATCCATGTCATTCTTTTAGATTATAATATATAATTTATGTAATAAATAAACATAAAGCAACTCGTTTTTTTTTTTTTGAAAATATATAATTTAAATGATGTATCTAACTTCTAATGATAGATTAATTTTCATTTTTCCTTTTTAAAGCATTTTTGGAGTGCGTTATTTTGATGGTTATTGGCTTTATCCATTTATGGAATATTTATCAGTGATAGCATTTACCATAATGTTTTTTATATCCATCATATTCTTATGGCTTATATATATTCTTGGTGATACGATGAATGTTATGCTTTGGGGTAAGCTTATCACTTATTTATATCATTTTATATTTAATTAAATAAATTAAATTGAAGTTTTTTAAATAATATTTTCTATTTAGATAATCTTGAAGAAATTATTCTATCCAAAAATATTTAAAAAATTTTTTTTCTGATATTTTTTCTCATATCTTATTCAAAATTTAACAAATTACAGTGATAAAAAAGATTAATCAAAATTTTATGTTAAAAGTATGCTTCCTAAAATGATAAATAATTTTACATTCTTTCATATCAATCATTTCATTAACCGAATCATTTAATCATTTTTATTTTTTGATTGCTTTATGATCAAATAATTAGCAGTATTAGTAAGTTTTTAGCTTATATTAAACTTTTGAGAATATTATCTTGAATATTATTTCTGTGAATTCCAATGCACAACGAGTTTTTTTACATTATCAATTTTATTTTATGATAAAATTTGAGAAATTTTACAATATTTAAATGATAGGATATGGAAAATAATTAAATTAAAGAAGAGTAAATTTAAAAAGAAATGTCACTTATGTTCATTTTTTTAAATATTAAATTAAATAAAATTGCTAAATCATGATTGTGTAAAAATAATATTAAAACATTACAGAAAATATAGCTTACTAAAATTAAATATTTCAGGCGGCGCGACACATTCCGAACCAGTAGAGAAGGCAAAATAGAAAATTTTTCATATATCATCCAATCAGTTTTGATATTTTTCTCAAAATTTCCAATTGAGAATATTCAGTGTTTGTGTTCAAATATTTTCTTATATCCTGTAATTTTTATTTCCTTCTTTTCGTAGTTAGTTTTTAGATTTTCTTTTTTTTTTGAAACTTTTCACAGTATGACAAATTTCTATAGAACACGGAAAAAAGATAATAGTGAAAAGTATTGATTAAATGCTATTAAAGAAAAGAACTTTTTTTTTTGAATTTTGATGATTTAATAGTTACAGTATCATTTTGATTGTATTCCAGCTTTTCTTTTTCTGTCTTTATTTATCTCCTCTTTCTTTTTCCCTGTCTCCCTCCCTCTTTTTCAATTATATTAATTATTTCTACTGCTTAAAAGTTTAATGATTTTAAACTTAACTTCTTTTATTATTCTTGACGTCGAGAATAAGTTTAACATTAAATCTTAGTTTTTTAGACTTATTCTTGCTAATGAGACAATAATCATTTCATATTTATTGTATAATTATTATAACTTTGATAATTTTACTATGCTAATACTTATACTATATTTCTAAAATTATCACAGTATAAAAGTGTCACGAGCGAATTTATCCTTTTCTCATATTCAAAATTAATGTTAGTCATTTTCTACTAAAATTCGTTTTCTTTTTCTTATTTTTGCGACCTATATTTCAAGCTTATAAGCCATATTTCAAGATAAACTAATAATTACGATGAATTATGATTATGTAATATTTATTATAACTTAATCAATTAAAAAATGTTTAACATTAGCAGCACTAATAATAATAATGACAATGATAATGATGATAATAATAGTAAATAGATAAATAACAACGAAAACACTAAATCAAAATAATTATACGTGAATTAAAATAATAATTATATTCATTATGAAATTAAAAAAAACACTTCCCAGAGTTTATTGAAAATTATGTAATTGATATGTGAAAATAGTTTTAATTAACTAACAATGATAACAGCAGCAAACTGGCAAAGATCTTCGTGATATCGTGTCGCGAATTCTATGTCACGATACTAAGAAATACTTTATATAAAATTTTACAAGTAATGTTTGTACCTTGAACCTTTTGTTTTAAGACCGACTACTCTTTAGCAAGGTTAACATATATTTTTTTTTATCTACTACATACATTTTGTTTATTCATATTGCTTGCTATAAGGAGATCATTAATAAGGCGCCATTATTTTGTATCATCAATAAAGTGGCATTGTTTTCACAAAGCACCAAAAAGGAGAGCATTGTTTGTTTGATCTAAAAACGAAGATAGGTCAACGAGTCTTCGCTTCTCGACAAGTTTGGTAAAGGAAACGACGGATTCGCTCTCGACAAGTTTTGTGGCTACGATTACGTATTCTCCTCTCGACAAGTTTGTGATACAACTACGATTCGTCTCTGCCAAATTACTGTATTATTGTTTCTTCTAATAGAAGAATTATTATATTCCCCTGTTATTCCACACCTCATTCAGCGTATTATTATTATTTATTTATTTATTTATTATTACCCTATTTATCGTAATAATAATTAAATAAATTTTCCGAAGAAATTCTTAGTTTCTTGACAAGAAATTAAAAATGTTTTATTTCTAATTATGCAACAAAAGCACACATACATACACTATGAATTATCTCTTTGATGATTAAATAATTAGGAATAAATTAATCTAAAAATTAGGACATATTGTTTCGCAGCAGAAATCAGGACACGTTACCGTATTCAAGCTGATGCACAAGGTTTATACAATCATTCCACGTTAGAGAAAAATAAATTTGGGGAATTGTATTTTGCATGCCAAAAGGAGCACTATTACTTCCAGTGGAGTCTCCCACGATCAAATAATCACCCAAAAATAGATATCGTACTTTGAATGGTAAACCACATGACTAAATTATGTATAATTTTGAAATATTAAATTTTATATACAGATTAACTTCAAAACAAATTAACAATTTTTGAAATTAGTTAAGATGTTATTGATAAATCAATCTGAAAACATATCAGTATTATATTACATTCACATTAGCTTAACTATCTAATTTCGTTTAATCTACATTGAACTAAATAAAAAAAAAAAAAAACTGAAATAATATTTTTTTTTTTTTAATATATATCACAAGTATCACAGCAAAAAAATAAATTAAATTATTTTATAGCAATATTGTGGTACAATAATTTTTTCACTGTATTTATACATTTTAACAATTTTTTTGTAACATGCTTAAAATGATAACTGCTATAAAATGTAAACAAAAAAAAAAAAAAGTTTAGCAAACATGAGCATTTACATTAAATTAGTCTTTATAGTTTAATATATTTTTTTATAATATATAATTCTTTATTTCTTTTTTGGAGAAATTAAAATGATAATTTATACCAATTTGAAATAAAAAATGGTGAAGTTTTAAAATGAAAAATACTACAAAATGTAAAAAAAGAAAAAGAAAAAAAATCTAAATAAACATGCAGTAAATCATAAAAATCAAAATCAAAAATATGCATCAAATCGTAAATAACACCGCAAATATTAACAGGCATGGCACTTCAACTAATGTTAGAACTTTTTGAAATGATGCTTTTGCCATTGTTAATAATTGATGCAAATCTGTAATTCATATCCCATTCGAGTGGAACCAGCCAATGGATGTTGATTAATTCTCGTAATACTAGCTAAAATCTAAGTTGGAGAGAGAGAGAGAAAATGCATTATTAATTTAATAAAATTTATCAAAATTCCTTTTCTGAAATTATTAAAGAAAAAATCTTTAACAAGCGATAAATCTTTAACTTTTTTTTTATTATTCTTTAACAAGCGGTATTTCTTTTATTGTTGGTGGTTTACTACTTTTCTTACCTTTAACAACTTTCTAAAAAAAAATTATATCTAATTTATCAATGATAAAATTTTCATTAAAAAAAAATATGGTGATTATGATACTTAATAATACAATAGTAATAATAATCCTATAGCACATTTGAATATGCACAAATTTTTTTCTTTCGGTTCAGTTTTTTTATTTTTTTTAGAATGAAAAATCGATTGATGAATGAAATTTAGAAGTAACATATTTATATGATAACCATGCAAAAATTATCATCATTAAAAAATTAAATTATGAAAAGTAACGTTTACTTCAGAAATAAATAATTTGAAAAAAAATAGCAAAAAGAAACCAATTATCTGTTATTATTGTAAAAAGGTTGCAAATAAAAATAAAAAACAAAAACAAAGGATGAGAAAAAAAATTGGAAAATAAACAAAAGCACTACTATTTTGCAAGAATTATTTTAGTTTCAACCATATAAGCAAAACTTGTATTATCACTATTATCATTATTATCATTATTATTATTATTATTATTATTATTATTATTATTATTATTATTTACCTGATTAGGGCCACCCTATTTATAACTTATTTTATAATAGCTTTCACATTAATATTTAACACTAACTCTTGATTTCTCTATTTCAGTCTTCTGAGTTGCTTCATTTCCGTAAAAACATTTTTTCAAATAATCGTTTTATGGAATAATTAATTAAAATTGTAAATTTTTGTTCCTCTTTTTCTGACAAATAGAAATTGATAAAATGATGTAATAGTTAATCAAATTTATTAATTGCTTTTTTCCTTTACTTAAGACAATTTCTTAAAAGAAATTCACTGTGACAAATAAATTTTCCCAGCTTATTAACAACGTAAATTATTAGTGTTAAAGGTTAATCAAATTGACCCTTAAAAATAAAAAGAACATCTAGCTTACTAATTTTGAATTAAACTTATCAGAGAAGAGTATTAAATCAACCGCCAAAATTTCTCACTTTACGCAAATACTTGAATTTCTATGAAATGCTTTTTAAATAAAATAAAATATTTAGGCAATGACTCCACTCGCTGACTTACAAAATACTAAAAAATAAATTTTGCTGCATTTCGTACATCATTAACATTCTTTCAATCACTAATAATCACATATTAACAAACAGTCAAATATTACTTGAACAATAATTATTTTTTAATTTGAACAAAACTTCAATATTTCTAACATTTTAAACTCACCGTATTTGTTTCAGATTAAAAAAAAATCACTTTTTTTTTTACTTCTTGCTTTATTAACATAGCAAGAAAAAGCAATTAGAATGAAATAAAAACAATAGTAACTGTATGGCCATATCATATCAAATTCGGACATTATTTACTGTTTCATTAAAATATATAAAAAGTGATACGAACAAAACTGAACGAAAATTTGCAGCTAAGCCAGTGCACGAAAGCAAAACGCCTGAGTCATTGGGATAGCGATCGAACTTTTTCATCTTTTTCATCTTTTCCAGTAATCTCACAAAAACCACTTAAATTTAAGTGATTACGATAAACAGCATGATAAGAACCTTAACAGTACCAAACCAATAGGAAGGATTTGAAATCGAATGAGGAAAACACGGTAATTTCAACGAAGTTAGTTTGATCAACAACAGTAATATTTGTGACAATTTGCTGATGACACATTAACATTGAATCTTCCAGTGATTAATTTGAATTCTGAAGCTCACAGTGAAGTATTTAAGGAATGTTGGTTGTTTGATTTAGCTGATAAAATCTAAGCTTTCAAATGATCCAATAACACCTTGAAATTTATGAATTTAAATTATATATTTTACAATTGCCAGATATGTGCCAAACACTAAGATTCACTAATAGTGGCTAAGCCGTTCGAGGAACACAATAAAACAATGCGGAAAAAAAAAAAAAAAACATCAAAGCAGTGATTCATTATTCATCGCACGAAACGAAACAGAAGCAAACATTTAAATAAAATTATTGTTTTTTAAATTATTTCAAATGTTGAATTTCATTAATATCAAATCAAATGTTTCGCTGGATCACTGAAACTTGTGAATTCGGCAATAGTCGTCAATGCTTCCGGATTGCATTACGGTGATAAATTTTAGTAGAAACTGTAACAACTTGCAGATTTGGACACAAATGGCTGGAGTTTGCGGAACAGGAGATGAGGAAGTTATAGCAAATACCGTTGAAGGACTAAAATGACTTTTTGATTCCGTTTTCATGCTGTCATTTGGGACGGGTAAATGTGTCGATGTTTCAGGTTCAGGTGATGACGAAGCTTCAGGAAATATCAGTGAAGGAATATGATGACGTTCTGAATCACTTGGTAATTTCATTTGTGACGAGGTTTCAGGTTCAGGTGATGACGAAGTTGTAGGAAATACCAATGAAGGAATATGATGACGTTCTGAATCACTTGGTAATTTCATTTGTGACGAGGTTTCAGGTTCAGGTGATGACGAAGTTGTAGGAAATACCAATGAAGGAATATGATGACGTTCTGAATCACTTGGTAATTTCATTTGTGACGAGGTTTCAGGTTCAGGTGATGACGAAGTTGTAGGAAATACCAATGAAGGAATATGATGACGTTCTGAATCACTTGGTAATTTCATTTGTGACGAGGTTTCAGGTTCAGGTGATGACGAAGCTTCAGGAAATATCAGTGAAGGAATATGATGACGTTCTGAATCACTTGGTAATTTCATTTGTGACGAGGTTTCAGGTTCAGGTGATGACGAAGTTGTAGGAAATACCAATGAAGGAATATGATGACGTTCTGAATCACTTGGTAATTTCATTTGTGACGAGGTTTCAGGTTCAGGTGATGACGAAGTTGTAGGAAATACCAATGAAGGAATATGATGACGTTCTGAATCACTTGGTAATTTCATTTGTGACGAGGTTTCAGGTTCAGGTGATGACGAAGTTGTAGGAAATACCAATGAAGGAATATGATGACGTTCTGAATCACTTGGTAATTTCATTTGTGACGAGGTTTCAGGTTCAGGTGATGATGAAGTTTCAGGAAATATCAGTGAAGGAATATGATGACGTTCTGAATCACTTGGTAATTTCATTTGTGACGAGGTTTCAGGTTCAGGTGATGATGAAGTTGTAGGAAATACCAATGAAGGAATATGATGACGTTCTGAATCACTTGGTAATTTCATTTGTGACGAGGTTTCAGGTTCAGGTGATGACGAAGTTGTAGGAAATACCAATGAAGGAATATGATGACGTTCTGAATCACTTGGTAATTTCATTTGTGACGAGGTTTCAGGTTCAGGTGATGACGAAGTTGTAGGAAATACCAATGAAGGAATATGATGACGTTCTGAATCACTTGGTAATTTCATTTGTGACGAGGTTTCAGGTTCAGGTGATGACGAAGTTGTAGGAAATACCAATGAAGGAATATGATGACGTTCTGAATCACTTGGTAATTTCATTTGTGACGAGGTTTCAGGTTCAGGTGATGATGAAGTTTCAGGAAATATCAGTGAAGGAATATGATGACGTTCTGAATCACTTGGTAATTTCATTTGTGACGAGGTTTCAGGTTCAGGTGATGACGAAGTTTCAGGAAATATCAGTGAAGGAATATGATGACGTTCTGAATCACTTGGTAATTTCATTTGTGACGAGGTTTCAGGTTCGGGTGATGACGAAGTTTCAGGAAACATCAGTGAAGGAATATGATGACTTTCTGAATCACTTGGTAATTTCATTTGTGACGAGGTTTCAGGTTCAGGTGATGACGAAGTTTCAGGAAATAAGGGTGGAAAACTAGGATAACGTTCTGAGTCATCTGGAACTTTCATGTGTGTTGAAGTTTCAGGTTCAGGAGGTGACGAAGTTTCAGGAAATAAGGGTGGAAAACTAGGATAACGTTCTGAGTCATCTGGAACTTTCATGTGTGTTGAAGTTTCAGGTTCAGGAGGTGACGAAGTTTCAGGAAATAAGGGTGGAAAAATAGGATAACGTTCTGAGTCATCTGGAACTTTCATGTGTGTTGAAGTTTCAGGTTCAGGAGGTGACGAAGTTTCAGGAAATAAGGGTGGAAAACTAGGATAACGTTCTGAGTCATCTGGAACTTTCATGTGTGTTGAAGTTTCAGGTTCAGGAGGTGACGAAGTTTCAGGAAATAAGGGTGGAAAACTAGGATAACGTTCTGAGTCATCTGGAACTTTCATGTGTGTTAAAGTTTCAGGTTCAGGAAGTGACGAAGTTTCGGGAAATACTGGTAGAGGAATGGGATGTAATTCTGATTCCGTTTTTACGTTGTAATTTGCTGTGCCATCTTTTTGCAGCGTTGGATCTAAACATTTGAATTAATTCGTTCAGTGTCATTTTTTCGCTGTGTGGTGTTGAAACTTATGCTTACAGTCATAAAAAGAACCGTTTGAGTTTACTCAATGATAATTATTTAATCCGACTTTGATGCTCGTATAACCGGCAAGTATACTGATATTATTTGGTCTCGGAATACAATTCCGGATTAATCACTTGTGTTGCAAATTAGTGAGAAATGCAGTTAACATAACTATGAAAGATTACTTATGAAGACTTACATGCATTGCTCGCCAGAAAGATTGCAAAAAGACATTTAAGCGACATTGTCAATCTGAAAAAAAATGAAATAGAAATTAAAATTAATATTCGAAATAGAGTGAGATGTTGCTTCTCTATCGATATTCGATCTTTTGTTCTGACAATTACGTATGCCAAGAAAGTAATGTTCTGACTGCATAAGCCATTGCAACTTGGCCAGAGAAAATTGGACGACGATAAGTACTGGAGGTAGAGTCTTGGGACATCAATTAAATTTGACAGTTATAAATTTAACCCGAAATTGAATACCCTTTTGCAATTAACCCTCACCTTTGACTTATGGGGAATATTTGGGGAAGAAATTATTCTGCTCCTTTTATTGATTCAGAACAATGTGAAGCAAGTATAGGTTAGAATGAATAACGAAAGGTTTTGTTTCATTCAAAAGACGAATTTCATGTTTAAATGAAATATTTTTACCAATAATAAATTGCTTTTAAATTTTAACAAAGAATTAAAACTTTGAAAAGCTCTTTTTAATTGTAATATCGTTTGTTTCCTGTTGTTCCGGAACATTAGCAAAAGGTGCAGAACCGAAGATACATGTTATAAAATTGAGAAACATATGGAAAAACGAAAAAAAGGATGACTGGAAAACTGAAAATTTTGTGAATAGCTTTTCATTTTATTGAAAATCTTTTGAATAAAATAGTTTTAGTGCAAAAGCAAAAAACGATAACTAGGCTTTGAAGCAATGATCATTCTTAATTTATGTTCGATTCTTCCGGAAAATCTGATTTCTTCTTAACTTTCAAATGTGACGAAACACTGTTTACTAAATATCTTAGCAGTAAATTATTGGCGATCGATTTAATATAAACCGGAGACGAATAATGACTTTCTGTTGCGTAACACTATATTAATGATGAATAATTTGCTTTCTTAATAGCGTTTGAATAAGCTAACTAATATTTAAAATTATACAAGCCTGAATTAGATATCCTTTTAATACAATCGATTAAAATTATAGAGAATTGTTTACTTAAAATGTTGCACCATAGATTTCTAGAAGAATTGCTTTCATAACACTTAGCAATCGGTGTCGCACTAATTAGCAGTGACTAGTCTAATCAATAGGTATTCTATTGCTTTGGACACAGTTTCTGAAACGTTTCTTTTTTTAGTAGACAGAAGAATCGTACAATGGTCACAATTAAATTGTCAGACTCAGATTAATTTATGATAGTAGTGGAAGACATTTGCATTGATTGCTATAGCGGATCTTTCCAACAGGACAAACTGATCTGTAGACTCTCTTAAAGAAATATATCATAGAAGTGTGATCTGTATGAATTGATTTCAATTTGAATGAATACTGATTCTAAATAAAATTCGGTAGATATATTCTACCCTTGCTTTTATTTATACTTCTAGTTCTTGCAAAATAATGCACATAATTTATCATTTTAACAGTATAAATGGCCCAGAATTGAGGACTAATTTACAGCTAAGCCATGACACAAAAGCAAAGTGACGGTCAGTTGAAAGTAATCGTTAAAGTTGTTCACACATGATTGAATAACGTATTAGTTTAGTCATATCAATCAACCAACCGGTAGTTGAAGTAGTCATACTTTATTCATCGAAAAAGTAACAGGCAATGAAGAAAAGGAAAAATGGGAGAAGTGAAATAAGAACACAGATTCGATCGTTTATCAGACCGTTTCCGATGTGACGCCCGATAGAACAGTTTTAACGGTCTTTTTCATCTTTTCCAGTAATCTCACAAAAACCACTTAAATTTAAGTGATTACGATAAACAGCATGATAAGAACCTTAACAGTACCAAACCAATAGGAAGGATTTGAAATCGAATGAGGAAAACACGGTAATTTCAACGAAGTTAGTTTGATCAACAACAGTAATATTTGTGACAATTTGCTGATGACACATTAACATTGAATCTTCCAGTGATTAATTTGAATTCTGAAGCTCACAGTGAAGTATTTAAGGAATGTTGGTTGTTTGATTTAGCTGATAAAATCTAAGCTTTCAAATGATCCAATAACACCTTGAAATTTATGAATTTAAATTATATATTTTACAATTGCCAGATATGTGCCAAACACTAAGATTCACTAATAGTGGCTAAGCCGTTCGAGGAACACAATAAAACAATGCGGAAAAAAAAAAAAAAAAACATCAAAGCAGTGATTCATTATTCATCGCACGAAACGAAACAGAAGCAAACATTTAAATAAAATTATTGTTTTTTAAATTATTTCAAATGTTGAATTTCATTAATATCAAATCAAATGTTAATTAGCTTTGTTAGCCCATTAAAATTTGTGTATTTCTATGATTTATGATACTGGCGTTGATGTTTCCAAATTAAGTGATGGGGAACTTTTAGCAAGTATTGGAAAAGATGTATAATATGAAGAATGGGGTTGCCATTTTGTTCTTTTTTTCATCTTAGAATCTGTTGCAGTAGCTTCATTTTGTATGGTGGTAACGGTCGATGTTAATACATTTATTAAATTATAAGCTGAATTGATCGCATATTTGTATTTCAAATTAAGCCTTTCTTTCTTATTGTCTTAATAAATGATTTTTTCTTTTCTATGAATATAGAAATTGTTTTACAAATAATTCCTTTATTGTTAGCAGTAGAAGTGAATTCGTCTATGGTCTTTTGAGTGCATGAAATCTGTTGCCAAAATCCAGTTTTTGAATCCATTTCGACACAATTGTTTTCCAAATTTTGTCTAGCTTTTGTGGGATTCCAATTGTGATAACCAAATATCATCCCATCTCCTCAGGAATATTCACTGTTTTGATCAAAATCATGTATCAGACCAAGATTAATCCCCGTTACATTTGGCTTTTGAGGCGCCAGTTCTGATGTTTAAAATTAAATATGTTAGCTAAAAAAAAAAGTCACTATGATCTTCTTTGCGTGAAACTATGAAACAAAAGTTTACATATTGTTAAACTTTTTCTGAGATTTTTAATTTCCCATTTCTTAAAATATTTTATTGATAATTTATTGATAGAACTGAAAACACCTCTGATGATGAATTGCGTTTCTTCTGTAGAATGTACAGAAACCATTATTCTGAGTTCATTCCTGCAGCTAACAGTAACTGTTTCATAGACCGTAATATTTGCTTTTGGTGATTTTATCTAGAAACAAGCAGTAATGTTGATATCACATCACTGCTGGAAATATTTCGGTTATCAGTACTGCTGGATTTACTTATAAATCGGTCATGCTATGAAGTTTCTAGTGTGAAATTTTTGATTATCTTACTTCTTGCTGGTTCGTTTAATTTTTTTCTCACTGCTTGTTGCTATTGTTGTGAAAGTTTTTTCTTTTTCTTTGATGTGATTAATTTCTGCTTTACATTTTAATTTCTTTATGAAAGATCGATGATAATTATTAGTTGTTTAATAAATGTTTTTTGTTGAAGAAATTGTTTCAAAGCTTAAATGGGAATTGATATGGTAAGAAATTGGTGAATATTTTGAAATTGTAGGAGCGAGTATTTTTAAAGCGAGCGTGAATAAGTAAGAAAAAGCATAAAAAAAGTGATAAGTAATAGAAACAAAGAAAGAAAAAAAGAAACTCTAATAATGAAATCAAATTTCTTATATGGATATATGATTTACTGAAAAAAAAAAAAATACTGTGAAATTCCCCAAAAAAAAGAAAAAAAGCAAAAGCAAAGAGCTGATTATAGCAAAAGATATAAGTTATTAAAATGAAGATATTTATATATCAAATGATTCGCCAATATTTGAAATAATATTAAAGATAAGCTTTATAATCGGAAGCAAAGATGAGAATTAGATAAATGATTCATTCCATTAGATATAACATTCATTTTATGTGATGAATCATTTGAGTGAGAAATATTTCTCTAATACAAATATTTTGACATTATTCGTGCTTAAATTATAAATTATTTTGATCTGTGATTTTTTTTTGAAAGCAATATTAAGATTTTATTTGAATTGATAAAAGTAATTAAGATTTGAATTAATAAATAATAAAAAGAATCATTTTGAATGCGAAATTGTATCACTTATTAATGTAAGAAATTGATATATAATAAAAGATTTGTTAATTACTTAATGTCAACAATAGAATAATTTTACAATAAGTACATTTCTATCTTTATTGGCATTAATTTTAATTAATTATTAAAAAAAAAAAACTTACCGCATAACAGAAACCACTACGTGGACGATAAACACAACCCTTCGAGCATTGTCTTCCATGCATTTTGTTTGCTTTTCCTTTACATAAGAATGCAAATACATTCTCATCCATTTACCCACTTTTGATGTAATTCCGTTTGATTCAACTCGAATTCCGGCACACTCACCATAATTCGAACATTTTGTTTCCCAATCGGTATAAAGTAATGTATTATCATTCATTCATTTATCACTTTTTATACCAATTAATACTTTGTAACTTGCTATAGACTATGACCAATTAAATCCGAAATATTTCAAAATGAAATTTTTTTACAAAAATTCAAAATGAAAATAATTACACAGTGAAATTATATCTATTCTTTAGTGACATTTATAGGGTTAACGTAACCCACAATATACTTACTTATCCTATGTATTTATATATCTAATATGTATGCCGTAAAGAAAATTTGCTTCAGCATTTGAACAGCATTTTCTTTTGTACAATAAAACCATGCATTTTCAAATTTCATATGATTTGTTGAATTTGTCACTCACATCTGCAAATCATCCAAAACAATGATTAGATAAATTCTATGAAAAGAAACATAAGCGAATGCATAACATACATGTGAATTTAACAAAAATTTCCATGAAATTAGTAAAAAATTTTTTTTAACATTTATGTCGATAATTGTTATATTGAAATTTGGATTCATTTATGTTTTTTTACGATAATTAAAGATTAATCAGGAATGAAACAAAGATATAATAACATGTAAATATGTTTAACTTTATAACAAATAACTATAGAGTAACATGTTTTGGTTACTAACCAAAACGATGTTCAATTCTTCAGACCAATGGAAAATACTGATTCCTTGGAATTAACAATTAAAGAAAAAATAGATTATTTATAAAATTATCCTATAATATGCCTCGGAGTATTGTGTGAGTTTCAAATTATATCACAAAATGAGCGCTTATTATTTTATTTGTTGCAAATGTGATTATTCAAGAGAAAAATTATTTGCAAATATATGAATCAAAACTTCTTAGCTTCTCACTTTGTAACAAGCATTGGTTTCTTTGTTATAGTGATATTCTGGTTCACAGCTCAAATCCTGACAATCTATAAAAACAGATAAGACCACATAGCTCTGTATTCATTATTTATTACATGAGATGAAATTATGAGTTTCAATAACAGCAACAATAACAATAATAACAACAACAGTAACAACAGCAACAAAGGCAAAACAATAATAATAAGAATAACGAACAACAAAAAAACAAGTTCGATCACTCGAGTACTTTATTCATTAATTTGCAGCTTATATATTTCTGTACGTTCAAATAACCATTTGAGTTTACCAAATAATAAATTATTAGAGCGAGTTGAATACTTGCAGAACACAGGCGAAGTGTACCTGGGATTATTTGGTTCCGGAATACAATTCCGGATTAATCACTTGTGTTGCAAATTAGTGAGAAATGCAGTTAACATAACTATGAAAGATTACTTATGAAGACTTACATGCATTGCTCGCCAGAAAGATTGCAAAGAGGCATTTAAGCGACATTGTCAACCTGAGAAAAAAGAAATAGAAATTAAAATTAATATTCGAGATAGAGTGATAAAGTGATATACTAGTTCTCATGTCGCAAAAGTCTTGCGAACGTCCAAATAACAAAATATATTAAGGAAAATGCTATTAATCCACAATACTAAAATTTATCTTAATCGAACATTCTTTAAAGAAATATAAAACTGTTTCAAATTACATCTCATTTAAGTAATCATTATTCCAGAATTCATCCTCCCATTGTAACCGAGCCTATCTGCTTGTCTAGAAATTTTCAACTGTTAACAAATGATGTGTGTTTATCTAATATGTTAAAAATTACTCCTTTGTTCCAAATCAAATTACTTGCAATGTCGATAATATTGTAAAGGTTTTCTAATTTAACAGTCATCCCTTGAGAAGATATATTAAAATCTATCTCTTACTATATAAAGAGTTCAAGATCATCTGATAGCTCCTTACTCAATGTAATCATGCACTTCTTGCAATTTAGTGCCCACTATATAAGGATTTAAATCCTTTGTCTCCATGAGTTTTCTTTTCTTTACCAGTAAGCTACAGTTTGACTGCTCTCCCCCACTCACAACTCATTTAATTATAGTAAATTCCTCATCAATCCATCAATTTTCTTTATCTCGTTCGTAGATACTCTACGAAATTAGCAGTATAATTGTTATAGATTAATACCTATATGTTGTGGTTCTAGCAATAAAATCCTTATAACAGACCCTTCGATCAATGCATTCGTAACAGACAGTAATAAACAAAGAAAGCTCTTCAACTATATATACGAAAATTCAATTCGACTTTAAGCTACAAGTATCAGTCAAGCCCATCTCTATCGATATTCAAGTCTGATCTGACAATTACACATGACAATAAAGTGTTGTTCTAGCTGCACGAGCTACTACAATGTGGCTAGAGAAAGTTGGACGTAGATACTGGCGCTAGAGTTTTGGGACATCGATTAAATTCGACAATTATAAATTTAACCCGAAATTGAATACCCTTTTTCAATTAATCCTCACCTTTGACTTATGGGGAATATTTGGGGAAGAAATTATTCTGCTCCTTTTATTGATTCAGAACAATGTGAAGCAAGTATAGGTTAGAATGAATAACGAAAGGTTTTGTTTCATTCAAAAGACGAATTTCGACAATTATTGATTTGATTAAAAATTTTAACAAACAATTAACACAATGAAAAAAACCGTCATTCCAAAAAACTAGCTGAGAGAGAATTGAAAACATATGTTATAGAATTAGGAAACATACAAAACGAAAAAAGGATGACTAGACAATTGAGAAATTTATGAATAGCATCTATAATTAATTTTGTTTGAAAATCTTTTGAATAAAATAGTTTCAAAATTTTGATGTAAAAAAAAAAAAAATCAAAAACAAAAAAACAAAAAAAAAAAAAAAAAACAATAGTTCGGCATTTGAAGCATTGATAGTTTCTAATCTTCCTTAATTTATGTTTGAGAGTTATATAAAAATATTCTCTTAACATCTAGAAGGAAGGAACATTTTCGATGACACTTGACACTCGTTGCACTTTTTAGCGAAAAACTAACTTAGTTAATAGGATAAGGTATTTCTCTCACGTTGGATACAATATCTGAAAGCATTTCCTTTTTCAATAGGCTGAAATGTTGTACAGCAATCACATTTCATTTGCAAATGTCCTATACTTTAAATGCATTTATACTGATATGATGAGAAACATTTGCAATAGTTCATTTAATGGATTTTTCCAGAAGTTCTACAAGAATGAATGATCTGTTACTTTTTCATGCATCATCTTTACTCGTCGAAAACTAAGCTATCATAAAATATATAATAAAAGCATTTGATCTTCATCAAATAAAGTTTAATTTTGAATGAATTTCAATATTTTCAACATTTATTAATTATCGGATTTGTTTTTTTTTTTTTTTTTCACTTCTTTAATTTATATTATTGTTAAATTGGAGTGAAAATAATTATGTGTGATAAGTAACTGATGATATATTAATATTTTTCTTTTCAACAAAACTGAATCTCTCAGAAATGTCCCTGCGATTATTTTGAATACCAAAATATTGCCATGAAAGATTTGAGAACTGTCTCGTGATTTAGCTGATAAATTTTAAATAGTCAAAATGATTTGACATCACTTTAATATTACCAAAATATATTACTATCTTTTTATTGCTTTTTGAATAAAATCATCATAAATGTATATGTGCCAAATATGCGTCATGTGCTTAGAATCACTGATAGGAGCCAAGGCGTTTGAGAAACACAATGGAAAATAGCGGGAAAAGACATCAAAGTAGCGATTCAAGCATTGCAAGAAATGAAAAAGAAACAAACATTTAAGTAAAATTATTGTTTTTTTTTTGAATTATTTCAAATGTTTATTTTTATTAATTAATATCAAATCAAAAGTTTCGTAATTAATTTCATCGGCACACTAAAATTTTTGCATTTCTACACATTATGATAATATGCATTGATGCTTCCAAAAAAGTGAACTTCTAGCAAATATTGGAAAGTGAAAATTATAAATGTCAGCGTCTCAGGAGGGGGTGATTCAGGAAATAAGGTAAAACACTGAATTGCTTAGCATATGAATTCCATTCTGATTCTGTTCTAATGTCGTAATTCGTACTGAAATCACTTGGTATGACCATATGTGTCGATTTTTCAAGACCTGGAGATGACGAAGTTTCAGGAAATATCAGTGAAGGAATATGATGACGTTCTGAATCACTTGGTAATTTCATTTGTGACGAGGTTTCAGGTTCAGGTGATGACGAAGTTTCAGGAAATATCAGTGAAGGAATATGATGACGTTCTGAATCACTTGGTAATTTCATTTGTGACGAGGTTTCAGGTTCAGGTGATGACGAAGTTTCAGGAAATATCAGTGAAGGAATATGATGACGTTCTGAATCACTTGGTAATTTCAGTTGTGACGAGGTTTCAGGTTCAGGTGATGACGAAGTTTCAGGAAATAAGGGTGGAAAAATAGGATAACGTTCTGAGTCATCTGGAGCTTTCATGTGTGTTGAAGTTTCAGGTTCAGGAGGTGACGAAGTTTCAGGAAATAAGGGTGGAAAAATAGGATAACGTTCTGAGTCATCTGGAGCTTTCATGTGTGTTGAAGTTTCAGGTTCAGGAGGTGACGAAGTTTCAGGAAATAAGGGTGGAAAAATAGGATAACGTTCTGAGTCATCTGGAACTTTCATGTGTGTTGAAGTTTCAGGTTCAGGAGGTGACGAAGTTTCAGGAAATAAGGGTGGAAAACTAGGATAACGTTCTGAGTCATCTGGAACTTTCATGTGTGTTGAAGTTTCAGGTTCAGGAGGTGACGAAGTTTCAGGAAATAAGGGTGGAAAACTAGGATAACGTTCTGAGTCATCTGGAACTTTCATGTGTGTTGAAGTTTCAGGTTCAGGAGGTGACGAAGTTTCAGGAAATAAGGGTGGAAAAATAGGATAACGTTCTGAGTCATCTGGAACTTTCATGTGTGTTGAAGTTTCAGGTTCAGGAGGTGACGAAGTTTCAGGAAATAAGGGTGGAAAACTAGGATAACGTTCTGAGTCATCTGGAACTTTCATGTGTGTTGAAGTTTCAGGTTCAGGAGGTGACGAAGTTTCAGGAAATAAGGGTGGAAAACTAGGATAACGTTCTGAGTCATCTGGAACTTTCATGTGTGTTAAAGTTTCAGGTTCAGGAAGTGACGAAGTTTCGGGAAATACTGGTAGAGGAATGGGATGTAATTCTGATTCCGTTTTTACGTTGTAATTTGCTGTGCCATCTTTTTGCAGCGTTGGATCTAAACATTTGAATTAATTCGTTCAGTGTCATTTTTTCGCTGTGTGGTGTTGAAACTTATGCTTACAGTCATAAAAAGAACCGTTTGAGTTTACTCAATGATAATTATTTAATCCGACTTTGATGCTCGTATAACCGGCAAGTATACTGATATTATTTGGTCTCGGAATACAATTCCGGATTAATCACTTGTGTTGCAAATTAGTGAGAAATGCAGTTAACATAACTATGAAAGATTACTTATGAAGACTTACATGCATTGCTCGCCAGAAAGATTGCAAAAAGACATTTAAGCGACATTGTCAATCTGAAAAAAAATGAAATAGAAATTAAAATTAATATTCGAAATAGAGTGAGATGTTGCTTCTCTATCGATATTCGATCTTTTGTTCTGACAATTACGTATGCCAAGAAAGTAATGTTCTGACTGCATAAGCCATTGCAACTTGGCCAGAGAAAATTGGACGACGATAAGTACTGGAGGTAGAGTCTTGGGACATCAATTAAATTTGACAGTTATAAATTTAACCCGAAATTGAATACCCTTTTGCAATTAACCCTCACCTTTGACTTATGGGGAATATTTGGGGAAGAAATTATTCTGCTCCTTTTATTGATTCAGAACAATGTGAAGCAAGTATAGGTTAGAATGAATAACGAAAGGTTTTGTTTCATTCAAAAGACGAATTTCATGTTTAAATGAAATATTTTTACCAATAATAAATTGCTTTTAAATTTTAACAAAGAATTAAAACTTTGAAAAGCTCTTTTTAATTGTAATATCGTTTGTTTCCTGTTGTTCCGGAACATTAGCAAAAGGTGCAGAACCGAAGATACATGTTATAAAATTGAGAAACATATGGAAAAACGAAAAAAAGGATGACTGGAAAACTGAAAATTTTGTGAATAGCTTTTCATTTTATTGAAAATCTTTTGAATAAAATAGTTTTAGTGCAAAAGCAAAAAACGATAACTAGGCTTTGAAGCAATGATCATTCTTAATTTATGTTCGATTCTTCCGGAAAATCTGATTTCTTCTTAACTTTCAAATGTGACGAAACACTGTTTACTAAATATCTTAGCAGTAAATTATTGGCGATCGATTTAATATAAACCGGAGACGAATAATGACTTTCTGTTGCGTAACACTATATTAATGATGAATAATTTGCTTTCTTAATAGCGTTTGAATAAGCTAACTAATATTTAAAATTATACAAGCCTGAATTAGATATCCTTTTAATACAATCGATTAAAATTATAGAGAATTGTTTACTTAAAATGTTGCACCATAGATTTCTAGAAGAATTGCTTTCATAACACTTAGCAATCGGTGTCGCACTAATTAGCAGTGACTAGTCTAATCAATAGGTATTCTATTGCTTTGGACACAGTTTCTGAAACGTTTCTTTTTTTAGTAGACAGAAGAATCGTACAATGGTCACAATTAAATTGTCAGACTCAGATTAATTTATGATAGTAGTGGAAGACATTTGCATTGATTGCTATAGCGGATCTTTCCAACAGGACAAACTGATCTGTAGACTCTCTTAAAGAAATATATCATAGAAGTGTGATCTGTATGAATTGATTTCAATTTGAATGAATACTGATTCTAAATAAAATTCGGTAGATATATTCTACCCTTGCTTTTATTTATACTTCTAGTTCTTGCAAAATAATGCACATAATTTATCATTTTAACAGTATAAATGGCCCAGAATTGAGGACTAATTTACAGCTAAGCCATGACACAAAAGCAAAGTGACGGTCAGTTGAAAGTAATCGTTAAAGTTGTTCACACATGATTGAATAACGTATTAGTTTAGTCATATCAATCAACCAACCGGTAGTTGAAGTAGTCATACTTTATTCATCGAAAAAGTAACAGGCAATGAAGAAAAGGAAAAATGGGAGAAGTGAAATAAGAACACAGATTCGATCGTTTATCAGACCGTTTCCGATGTGACGCCCGATAGAACAGTTTTAACGGTCTTTTTCATCTTTTCCAGTAATCTCACAAAAACCACTTAAATTTAAGTGATTACGATAAACAGCATGATAAGAACCTTAACAGTACCAAACCAATAGGAAGGATTTGAAATCGAATGAGGAAAACACGGTAATTTCAACGAAGTTAGTTTGATCAACAACAGTAATATTTGTGACAATTTGCTGATGACACATTAACATTGAATCTTCCAGTGATTAATTTGAATTCTGAAGCTCACAGTGAAGTATTTAAGGAATGTTGGTTGTTTGATTTAGCTGATAAAATCTAAGCTTTCAAATGATCCAATAACACCTTGAAATTTATGAATTTAAATTATATATTTTACAATTGCCAGATATGTGCCAAACACTAAGATTCACTAATAGTGGCTAAGCCGTTCGAGGAACACAATAAAACAATGCGGAAAAAAAAAAAAAAAAACATCAAAGCAGTGATTCATTATTCATCGCACGAAACGAAACAGAAGCAAACATTTAAATAAAATTATTGTTTTTTAAATTATTTCAAATGTTGAATTTCATTAATATCATCCTGTTTAACATATCTGCTTTACTATGAGTCTGCAGGGCAAATCATATTGCACTGACCTTTGGCCGTTTTTTCTGCACACAATTTTTTCTATACACAAAAAAGAACATAATTCTTGGCGATTTTAATGTCAATCTCGGAGTAGGAAGCCCAGAATGAAATTGGGTAAACGTGGATGTAAAAAACAGCAATGACAGTGGTCACTCCCGTAGAGTTTCGCGTCTACATGGACTTTTCGGGTGAGACAGCTTATGGTTAAAATTATCTTCCTGCAGGAAGACAGCCTAAAAACAACCTGAACGCATCCTTGATCACCTGATCGACTACAGATTAGTGCGTCAAAGGTGCATTCCCGGTGTTTGCCATATCCGAGTAAAGCAGAGATGACCGCCTTGTGCGATGCAAACTCAGTCTCTTTCAGGGCAAACCTAAAAGAGATAACGCACGAAAAGGCCTAAAGCAATAATCTTGAAATTATTGCAATAAAAAACAATTTCCGGGCAAACTTCAAACTGGACTTGTAGGTCACTTTATGGATTCCTTCCCTGCAACCTTCTGGCTAATCATCAAAAATAGTATCCGGCAGTCTCCACAGAATGCCTAGGGTTCACATCAAAGAAATCCAAAGACTGATTCGATGAAGACAATCTACAGACTAGGCATTGTTACCCAAGGAAATTCACTGCCACCACTTATGACGCCTTGAATGTTTGCATTAGGTTGTTGATTTCACACACCTTACTTAGCTACACTGCCCAGATGACCAATATATCGCCCTCAACAAGTAAGCTTACTAGTACAGAGGTCACGTTACTTAAGAGACAGATATACTGGACGGGTCACGTCTTCAAGATGGAAGATTATTGTCTCTCTGAGATCCTATGCTACAGCGAACTCACCACGCAGTAAGTTTGTGTCCCAAAAAAGAGGTACAAGAATTGCTTGAAATAATCTCTTAGTTTAGGACACATTGACCAAGGTGTCATTGGTCCACTTTGGCCTCTAATCAAGCGTCATGGTGACAACCATCCTAAGACCGTTACCGTCTTTGAGAGCGTATGTAGTATTTGTCTCGTGAAGAAAACACGATAACTTTATCCGCTGCGCTAGCACCAACCAATATTGTCTATCTGTTTTACCTTTTACAACATCACTCGCATATCCAGCATTGATCTTTTTACTTTCACAAATCTTTGTTTACAAAACTAAGCCATGATCAAATTATCACTTATCTATCCAACCACAAAAGTGATTATTTTTGAGTTTTGAATTTATCAATTTGAAAGTTATATCAATTTAGAAGTATCAAATTTCCATAAAATCAACATTTATGTAGTCTATCAAATATTTCTAATGAAATTGCACCCTTGTAACATATTTTAATAAATATGAATCAATTTATTTAGTTGATATTGAACTGTTTATAGATGATAATTTATAACATTTGAAAAATTCATGGACAATTTTTCTTTTTTTTCAAAAATTGATCCATTCATTAAAATTAAGTTAAAGATGAAAATTTGTGTAATATTATTACAAATCTGCATGAAATATCTAACCATAAAATGAAAGAATGATTGCTTTTAATGCTAAAAGAAAACCATATCGTTTAGGAGGTCCTCAATTTGACGACATTCAATGACGATCATCTCATCAATCACTCGCTGCGACAATTTACATTACTAAACTCAATAGTGCTACTGATGCAACAGTTTGTACTACTCTATCATTTGCTATTACGATTAATGCTCATCAATTTATCTAATCCTATCCAATTCAAAATTCTCACCAGAATTTCATTTTCCCATTAGAGCGATAGCAATAGCAATAACAACACAAAAATGATAATAATAGAAAAAAGACGGTTACTTTTATTGTTTTTTTTTTTTTGTATTTTTATTCTTTCATTCATCCTTCTTAGTTCCTTCTTTTTTCTTTTTTTTAAATTTGCTTTGTGAAATACAAAAGTCATTTATTTTTGATTTTTCTTTTGAAACGGATTTTCTGAAATTTCTCCCTGAATTTTTAACATCCTCTCTTCATTTCAATTTCTCTTTTTTCATTTTCATCTTTTGATACTTGATTTGTTCAATTTGATATTTCAAAAATCATACGACCTTTCACAACATATAGTCAATTTATTCACATTATGATTTGAAAAATTGTAAAATTGCTCATTCTTTTAAATTTTTTCCTATTCGATTATGTTTTTCATTTTGTACTATTTGACCTACATTCAACTGATATACTCCAAATGCTATGCTTATTTGTTGATTATTTCTCAATTTTTATCCATAAGGCTTTGCTACTCACAAGGTTATTTTCTTTATCTTAAAAGGTTTATGATATTATTGAACAAAGATAGTAAACCGAAATACGACATCATTTTACTTTAAATTCAAAATGTCTAATAAAATTTCATGCAAAATATTTCTTCTGAATGAAATTTTATTGTATAACTTAATCAGATTAATCAAATGGATAATTCCTTAAATGAGAGATAGGTGTTTTAATGCAATACAATTTAAACAATTTAAAAAAAAATCGAAACAATGGTTGAATTTATTTTCGAAATCAATTGTTTTATCAGATTGATATTGTCAATATTAAAATTTCATCTTATCGCCTTCTAAACAAAAAAAAAAAAAAAGTTTTGTTTATTGTATCTTAATTCTTATATTGTTGTTTTTCAACAAAAGTAAGCAAATTAAAAGAAAAAAAAAGAAAGAATATATAAGTGACCGTTGGATTGTGAAAGTTTAAATATTTCCTTGAAATATTACGACGAAATTCTCACTAATAATACATTATATATTATAAGTTTGTATAGAATGTATATATTTCTGCCAAAACTAAAACTTCAAGTTAAAGAATCAATAATCTATCTAGTCACCTATATATTTAATTTTACTTGTAATACCCATAGTAATTATTTATATGCCAAATAAGACTAATTAT